ACACACACACACTGGAACATCACTGCTCCAACACAACAAAGAGGCAGCCTATCCATCTCATCTTCCCTTCGCCTGACGTGTCACCACCTCTGGTTTATTCATGTTGTCCTCACATGGCTGTTTTGCTGCATGAGGTCAGAAACCTTTCAGAGAAGAGACTGTTTTAATTTAGAGGTACACGTTAGCCAATTATCTGGAGATGGCCTGGGGGAAGAGAAAAAAAAAAAGAAGAAGCTTTTTAACGAGTCAGTTCAGCATGTGATCATTTCATTTTTGGATTTCTTTTTTTGGCATTTGTGTCAATTATAAATGTACGCATTCAAATGTCTCAGTAAAAAAAAAAAACTAGCATTGCCTCCCTGGACACAGTGAGATTTAAACTTTGACTACTGATATCGTATGACTCCAAGTGACAACTGGTCAAAATGTCATGTTCATGAGGCTAAACGTGTGTTTTGTGAGGTTACCATGACCTTGACCTTTGACCCCGAGAATCACTTCATCCTTGAGTCCAACTGAATGTTTATTCTAAATTTGACAGGATTCCCTCGTGGTGTTGTTGAGATATCGTGTTCACAAGGTAAACGCCCACGGCCTTTAACCTTTAGTGACCACATTCTAATCAGTTCATCCTTGAGTCAAACTGAATGTTTGTACTTATTTTGAAGAAATTCCCTCAAAGTGTTCTTAAGATGTCATGTTCACAAGAAAGGGACAGACGGACGACCTAAAAACAAAACGCCTCCTGACGCAGAGACATAAAAACAATTCATTTTTTAAGACAGATTTTATTACTGTACAATAAATTACAATCCAGGTCTTCATTCCTTGTGTCGTTTGGCGTGTTAGTTAAAATCATTCATTTCTTCCTGGTCAGAAATTGTAAATGTAAACATCCACATGTTTTGTAGGCACACACAGCACTTGATAAGACACACCATCTCTTCACCTCCCTCGTCCACCTCTATCTTTCTCACACCTCCAACATTAAGACACATGCGTCCTCACTCTCACCCTCCCTCCTCTCAGTGGGTGTAGAGCGAGGCGGTGAACACGATGTCCCTGCGGATGGCCAGCGACGCCTTCTCCATCTTGCTCCCCAGGACAGAGTCTCCCACGATGCGGGCGGCCTGTCGCACCTCCTTCAGCACCTCATCCAGGCGCTGGATGCAGCGGACCACCGTGCCCTCCTGGACGTCTGTGAGCAGGGCGATTTCTGCGAACGGCTGGTGGAGGGGACGAAGAGATGAGGTGAGACGGTTTGTGATGTAACACAAGCAGGACAGAGGGATGTGCAGACGAGGAGGTTAAAACTCTTGGATGTAGATTCTGTCTGATTTGTTATCAGATCTAAAAATGTAGACGCAGAGCTGGACTAGAACAAATGTGGCGTCTCCTATGTGAAGTGGAGTGAGGGCTACAGATTCATCTGCAGATGAAATATAGAATATCCAGATGCAGTGTGTATTGACGTATTTCACCGATAGCTAGCATGGCACGTTAGCATGAAAACCTGCTCTGTTGTGTGTCCCATGAAACTGTGCATCAAGCATCTGGCACGTCGTGTTGACGCAACGCATACGTGTGAATCCAGCGAACATGGTGTGAAACATAGGATTAAACCTCACCATGCCTCTGGCCCAGCAGTACACCACCTCTGTCAGACCAAACTTGAACTGGCCTACAAACTCCTCGGCCGTCTGTGGTATCCCACATTCCCTCTGCAGCTCTCCGATACGCTTGGCCACTGACAGCACCCGACCGATTCCCTGAAAAACAAGCCGAGAGAGAGAGAGAAACGGGGGGGGGGGGATGAGGGAACAGATGGAAAAGAGAAGGTCAGATTTTATTTTTACAAGTCGTCCTTAAATGCATCACTCACGCCCTCTTGGTTTGAACAGGAAATCTGTTTCACCGAACGTGCCGTGATGCGTCCGCCAGGTCTCAGCACGCAGCTCGGTTCATCACTAATGTAAAACCTCATAAAGCACTTCCATGTATCAGGAGGCGTTCAAAGCTGGCACTTACACAATTCAGATGAATATAACAGAGTAGAAGTAAGTGACAGGTTGGACTCCTTTCTGCAGGGTGAGGATGTCATACATCAAATCTGCACAATGTAATACAATGAGAGACTGTGTGTGTGTGTGTGTGTGTGTGAGTCACCAGTGGGGGAGGCAGGAGTGTCAGGACACACACATCATGCTCACTGCCGCTTTAATATCTGTTTTTTTTATGCAACATGAGAAAACACCAGCTCCTCCTCACCTCCTGCAGCGTGTTGGTAATGTGCGGCTCCACCTGCGTGTTCTGTGTGAAGATCAGACAGGACAGCAGGGCGGCGCTCTCTTCAGGCGCCAGCGGGCTCAGGACGTTCTCGAACAGCAGCTCGGTCAGCAGCAACTCGTGGCTGCTGATCTGACAAGCCACGCGGCCTTTCAGCTGCACTGCCCCGCTGCTGTCGACGTACTGGAGGGACTGAAGCACCTGAGGGTAACGAGAGTTACGTCGCACACGTGCAAATCCCAAGCAAGTTTGAAAATCAATCATTCTGAAAACAAGTCACAACCCAAATATTTTTAATCACAAGAGAGGCTGATTAAGTGTCGCTCGACCTCGACAGCAGCTCTGGAGGTGACCTGACTTTAAAAAATAAAAATGCCCTGACAGAAAAAGATTGTGACAGCGAGTCAAACGTCTGATCCAAACCTTGATCCTCTGGTGGTATTCAGGCAGCAGAGACAAAGACTGGTCTGACGCCAGGAACAGCAGCCGGTCCAGCTCCTCCTGCACACTCATCCTCTCTGTAACCCGAGCAAACTGAAAACACACACACACAGACACACACACACACAGACACACACACACACACACACACACACACAAGCCATGATCACTTAACTTGAATATACCAACAGCAGCATCGCAGTGTTTGACCTGATTTCAAAGCTGCATTATGGCGAGGGAGAGGAAAGCGCTTTTTATTGTCTCTCATTGTCAGCATTGGGGAGTCTCTTGGTGAATACGTTACATAAACCCACTGAGGCCAATTACTGTAAACTAACAGCTCCAACTGATGAGTGTACTGCATCAACCATCACTTTCCAATACCCACAGAGCTGTAAAGAGACAAAGTAAAGCTGCGGCGACGAGAGGAGACTGTGATACAGCAAGTAAAAGCTTGTCTTGGAAGGTAATGAGCTTTTGTGTGTGTGTGTGTGTGTGTGTGTGTGTGTGTGTGTGAGAGAGATGGCTCAAATGACATGCTGTTTCCTGTGAGACATTGATGAGCTGCTGCTATGTGCCTATATGGGTAATTATAGAAACAGCCGGCTACGATTCTTGCATCTTATCTCCTAAACGAGGCTGCCAGGAAGACGGCGTACACAACACAGACACAGAAATCCTGTGGTGGAGTTTGATGTTATTACTGTGATAGTAAAGGAGAAATGATGAAAGGATAAAAGGAATCTGAGGGAGAAATGAGTGGGGGCATCACAAGGGGGCCGATTGCAAAAGGAAGTGTCTTGTGTGGGGAGGGGAAGTTAATTAGCTGCATGAATAACATGCAACCAGCCACTCAAAGAAATGTGTGTCTTTATTAACAAACAGTGAAATGAAAACTTTTCTTCACCATTAATCTGCACAGAGCGTCTCAAAAAAATGTAAATAACTCCTCCAAGAACTCAAAAGAGAGATTATTCTGTGGACCATTAACAACAAACCTGCTCCGCGAACGTGGGCGTGTGGATGCAGTTGAAATCTTTGAGGCTCCCCTGCAGCACGCGCAGCCTCATGGAGTCCTCCACCACATTGACGCTCTTCAGCTGGAGGTCGTTAACGGGGTCAAGGGTCACCAACCCGCCGGGGTTGGCCTCGGCCAAACGCAGGAGCTCCTGAGTTGCCGTGGAGATGGCTTGGCCGGGGGGGTCGTGTCTAAGGGACAAGATGGAGCGATGAGGACAGTGAGAGAGATGCCTTGAAGAAGAGAGGGAGGGAGATGACCTCCTTTTATACTGTGAGAGAGCTGACTGCTCTGATTCAAACACAGTCAATGTATTGTGATATACATGATGGACAATAGATAAAGCTTCAATGTAGAACTGAGGATAAAGAATATACACAAAGCTAAATTAATAATATCCAGAAGATGATGCTCAAAAGAATCCAGAGTAAGAAATGTTCACATTCACAATCTCACACTAAACAATAAAACCCTACTTCAGAGCAGAAGTACATCCCATCCAGGTAGCTTTACAATAATACCACTCAATATACTGTGGGAAAGAAAATATTAGTTTTATAAAAGTGTAATAGTCTATTGTATAGCTGATATAAGGAAGTTTAAGGAGTACTTTGTGTTAAAGGTGCCCTGTGGTGTTTTCTTACAAAATAATTTCCTCCACTTTTAATCCAGCATCGTTTACATCTGTGTTAACAAGCTCCGTGTTTTCATTTACTCGTTATATGTTTCTTACCATTTTACTGCCACCACCTGTCAGACAGTAGAACAGCACTGGTCATGTGTGAATCGTATGCGTCGTCATGCATGTGCTAAACCTTGTGCTCAGTCGCACACACCTGAATCGTGGTTGTTGCCTCTTGCTGTAGTTGTCGATGATCCTGTCGGGCATCACTTTGAGGGTTTTCACTGTGATGGATGAAATGTCCTGAAACTTCAGCTTCTGCACCGTGTGGCTGCACGGACCTTATGAAAACAACAGAGAGACACTGTTAGCTGGACCGTTGGTCTAATTACAAATTGCTCTGTGGAAACATCATGTGTGTGGGTGGTTTTAGTAAATGTGCAACTGTCCATAAACCAACCTTCAGGTATAAAGAGAGCTGTGTTGTAGAGGTGCGGTAAAGTGCTGTCGTGGTTGCCTTTTCCTTCTCCTTCCTCGTTGCCTTTCTCACAGATGATGAGAGCTGTGAAGGTGCGATTCACAGAGTTGTTGGACACCTGACACCGAGACATGACAGGACAGATGAGTCAAAAAGACAGAACAAGAGAAAGAACAAGGGGAAAACAGTCGTACAATCATCACTCATGGATGTCAGGGGCAAAACACTGGGTCAAAATCTTAGAGCTGTACTCTCAAAGCAAGACGATATTTCAAAACCACAATGGGATTTTTTAATTTAAGAAATCTCTGAATTGAAAGCAGTTCTTCTATTTGTTTAAAACAAGTCGAAGACAATAGATTAACTCTGAACATTTCTAAACAAATGAAAGATTCAGCAACATATTTTCCCATCACACACCTGTAGGAGAACTCCGAGCGCGTTACGGTGCTGTTTGTTGTTAACCACCACAACTCGACCCACAGACAGAGCTTTCAGACCGTTCACAGACTCCAGAATAGCTCGCTGAAACCAGAGGGGAATTCCATGATAAGCAAGCAGCAGATAAAATCTGAATGTATTTGCAACTCATTGTGTCTGTTTCCGTACTTGGAGGGCTTCGGTGGTGGTTCGCAGCTCCGTCACTGTGTGGTAGTAAGGCATGAGGTCGGAGAGCTGGCCCTCTGTGTCCAGAGGAGGCAGAGAGGACAGCGTCTGCTTCAGCTGGCTGATCCTTTTCTCTTGGCTCTGGAACAGGAGGAAGAGAAGAAGAGGAAAAGAAACAGAAAAACACAGTTGTCAGTTGTTATGACTCTGAAACAACATGAGTGAAATGAGCGAAGACGATGAGGAGGACAGGAAGAGAGGCTTTTCATCTCTTATTCTCTAGTCTGCGTCATTTTTAACTGCATGCAGTGTTTCCATGTAGTGTTCTTAACTTAATTCCACCGTTCTATCATAGACCTTCAGAAGAGTTAATCATTTATAATCAGATCTGTTCTGCTGGTATTTGTGTGTTTACCTGAGTGTCTCTGTGGTTTTCAGAGAAGCTCCTCCTCATCATGTCAGTCACTCGGAGCGCCTCCACTCGCAGCAGGTTGAGGATCATAGTGTAGGTCAATCTGAACTGAGACTGGAGGATAGTAGGTTTACCCTGAACCAGACAGAGGAGAACAACAATGACTTTATGATATTGCTAAGTTTTTCCTTTTCTTTGAAAATGATAATGAACATAAAAACTACTATAGATATCATAGAACAGATAAAACAACTTTACGTTATTGAAGGAAAGAACATTCTTTGTGTTCATTTTGCTGAGAGAATAAAATTCCTATCAGCGATAAAGGAGGTTTAATTCTGTGGAATAGTTTGTTTAAATTGAAATGCTGCTCTGGAAACTGCCACAGAGGGAGAGGGAGTTAAAATAGTTCACTCAACTGTGTAATTAAATGCTTAATGAATAAACCGATGTGCAACTCCCACCTTAAAACACAGCGAAAGATTTAATACCAAACCGGCTGAGGTATAAACTCATGTGGCAGGCGGATGTTACAGTTCGAACATGGCGGGCCTCACCAGCATCATGACATGCAGGTCTCCCATCTCATGAACACCAGCTTTACACAGAATAATGACGGTGCCCGTGGCGTCCAGTCCTCTCCTCCCGGCTCGGCCCGCCATCTGAATATACTCACCTGAAAGAAAAGTAAAAAAAGATCCAAATTCTGATGTTTTCCTCGTTTCTCACTCATCCTCAGAGATGAAAGAGCATAATACACCAGGGTTCAGATGAAAGAGAGGAAACGGGGGAGCACCAGACCTGGCAGCAGATTCCTGAAGCCGGTGCCGTCGTGTTTTCTGATGCTGTCGAACACCACGGTCCTGGCGGGCATATTCACTCCCATTGCAAATGTCTCAGTGGCAAACAGCACCTGGGAGAAGAAAAGAAGATGCAATGGAATAGTTGTATCCACCTATGAGCCAAAGTAATGATGAATTTGCAGATTGAAGCTTAAAAGTCGTGAACAGAAAGATCAAACTGACTTTTACGAGCCCTCGTGAGAAGAGCATCTCAATGACCTCCTTCAGTATCGGCAGGATCCCGCTGTGATGCACTGCTATTCCTCTCTTCAACAGGTCCCTCATGAGCAAGATCTGAACACGGCATTTTGAAGTGTTAACATCACATCTTGTGGTTGATTTACATTCTGACAAACACATATCTGGAGATCACGAAAGAAGAAAAGTTAAACTGTCTAAGCCGAGCGTTCTCTACCTGAGGCAGCTGTCGGTCTCCCCCCCGCAGGCGACTCAGGCTCTTCTGGAAAAAAGAGTGAATCTCTGCCTTCTCTATGGACGTGGTCATGTCCATGGAGTCCAGAGAGCGGGCGTTATCGTCACAGCGCGACCGAGAGAAGGTGAACGCCACTACCGGGGTCTGCTGCCGCTGGGACAAGTAGTGCAGGAGGGTGAGCCACACCGCTCGGTCCTGGGGGGGGGTGCAGAGAGGAGGGATGATGAGCTTTCACGTTGTTAAGAGACAAAAATCGAAAAGCTTTGAGGAGACAGAAAAAAAAGAAGGGATTACCTGACTGGACGAAGTGTTTTGAGAAGTATTTTTTGTGCCGAATGATTGGGCGTGTTTGCTGGTTCGCTCCTTCTTGGCATCAATGGCTGCATAGTACCTGAACAACAAAAACACTCTTTGTCAGTAACTAAAGAAAAAGCATCTACTGATTTTCCAAACAGCTGCGGATGGTAAAATTGTGGTACCCTTTGGTGAGGAAGTTTCCAACAGCATCAACCAACAGGAACATCTCTTTCTGAGTCTTGGTGCTGTTTCCTGTGTACAGATGATGCTCCAGAGGCACAGGTCTCTTCATTGTGCTGATCACGTAAATATGTCTCTTCTTAATACGACTGGAGACAAAAGAGAAGAAAGAGAAGAAAGAGAAATGTTCAAAGAATACAAAAATTCAATTGTTATTCATTTTTGAGTTTCGGAACAGATATTCTAAGATGGAAACAGATGCTTCACAAATGGCTCTTTAATATTCATTGCTTCAGCACCTACCCAATCCACTCGCTAAACTCGAGAGCATTTGGCACCGTGGCGCTGAGGAGAATGATACTGACGTGATCAGGCAGCATAATCAAAACCTCCTCCCACACGACCCCTCTCTGGGAAAAACAAAGAGATGATTAAAAAAAAAAAGGAGAAGACGATTGTTATTCTTCAGTCCAACAGCTTTACAGATTATTTCCCTGACCTCGGCGTCGTTGATGTAGTGAACCTCGTCGAAGATCACCCACTCCAGGTCTCTGATGACCTCTGAGCCGTTGTAAAGCATCGACCTGAGCGAGGAGACAAAGACTCTAGAAACTCGTCCATCTTCATTTCAAACACACGACTTGTGACAATTGTTGCGTATCGCCTACGTACCTGAGGATCTCAGTGGTCATGATGAGACATGAGGATTCAGGACTGAGCTGGACGTCACCCGTCAGGAGTCCGACGTCTCCAAAGGTGGTTTTAAAGTCTCTGAACTTCTGATTGGATAGAGCTTTAATAGGAGACGTGTAGATGGTCCTATCAGAAGACGCAATCGGGACGGTCAGAATATGATTTGAAAAAGTAACCTGGTAATCCTGATTTATACAAATCACACGGGTCCATAACTCTTGTTTATATCATCTCATCAGAGTAATTTGTTGTGCCTGGTCCAGTACTGTTTAACAAAGCTGTGTGGCTGCACACCTACATGCACAGCGAGCGCAGACAAAATGAACTCGTACCAACAAATACACACCTTGTCATGTGTTTCTGGGAGAGAGCGATGGCGTACTCGGCCACCACTGTTTTTCCAGCTGACGTGTGTGCAGCTACAAACACAGAGTCGTGAGCTTCCAGCCTGAGCACAGCCTGCTTCTGGAAAACGTCCAGTTCGAACGGCCACTGGAGCAGAGGAAGGCAGGGAGACAAATGAGCGGCCACCATGCAAAGTGGTTTTCATGTGATAATTCACCACACAGAAACACAGAGGTAGACTGTATAAACAGAGGAACAAACATATCTCGTCATATTTTAGGTAAATTGGGTGATTACGAGAACACCCACCTTGAATGCTGGGTTGGGGATGCGTTTATGGAAATCTTCACAAGGTGAAGTGATGTTGACAGGGATGGCCCATTTCTTATTTTCCTCCGGCTTCTCTTTTGGCTTTGATTTGTCATCTTTTCCTTTCTCGGAGGGAGTGGAGGATGACTCAGCCTCCTGAGGACAGAGGAAGAAAACCAGCTCTAAACAACCTTGGAATTTAGATCACACGAAACAGCAGGGATATTTCACTGGGGTTCAATTGTGTTGGGAAATAATTACAGGAATAATATCTAGTTGAAAACCAGATCTCCTTTATACAGACATATTTCTTTATGTTACATTTCTGCCTGTGAATCATATCATGCAAATATCCAACAAAGGGCAATTTATTTTACACATCCTGATAAAAAAGAGGATATGGAATTAATAATAGAGCAATTCACAATAGGCACTGGAAAAACATTTACATTATTTTTAAATACCTTGATGCCTAGGTCTTCAAGACTGTTTGTTCTGGGTAGTTTAGGAGCTTCTTCAACTCCTTTGCCTTCCGTCTTCTCCTCCGCCTCAGGTTGTAAGTCAACAATGTCATCAAATGTGGACAGGAGGGACATGAGGTTGACCTCTGGCTTTGCCTTTTTGGCATCTTGATGAAAGAAATTCAAAAATGGGAAACAGAAATTATATTTTGACCCTTGTAAGATATTTCACCATAGGACAACATGATATCTAACCTTTGTCAGTGAAGTCCATCCCAGCTTTAAGACCTGGTGGAACTCTGAGCAAATCTGTGATGGAGAAATGAGAAACAAGAGTTGAATATAAAGAGTTGAAATAAGAAGAAAAACATTGATAGAATTTTACTAGACTGCAAATGAAAATTTCAAAATCACCATTTTCAAAGTCAATGTCCTCCTCCAGCTCAGATTTCTTCTTGATTTGGTCCAGTGTCAGCCCCTCCATTCCTCCTGTGAAGATCATCAACATAACAAATATATTACAAAATAATAAGGCCACAGTAATAACTCCTCATCCAACTAACACATCCACAACTGAACATCTACTGAGATTCCTCCATTTATTTCATCATGGTATCAATGTTTTCTTAGATATATTATCTGTGCAATCACACTCAAGCTTGATGGACACAGAGAAAATGCTGTGAGTGAATCCATCTCACCGGGAAGGAAGGGGTAGTTGGTGTTGCTTCCTCGCAGGCTCTCTGACGGAGGCCCGGGTTGCCGTTGAAATGACAGTGAGTTTTTTGCTGAGAGGCCGGTGTTCTCCAGTAAAACCTAAAAGTGAATTACAGACAGATCTTAAGTGGTAGTTTAATTAGCATTTACTTAGATTATAGTAATACAATGGGCTTTTCCTCTTCAACTGTCTGTCATGGATGTCCATCCCAATTTTCAAAAGTGCAGGTTTACCCTTTTAATCTGAGACTGTTTGAAACCCAATGATGTTCAGATAATTAACATGGAAAACAAGGAAAATCTGAAATATTCACATTTGAGAAGCCAGAGAAATTACATTTTCCATTATTAACTTTTAATAACTAGTTGTTTTAGTTCTACATGACATTATGCTTCTTTAACAATTATAGGTATGTGAGATACCTCTGTGAAGTCCTGCAGCATCCCTGTGGTTGGATCTCTGACAACAGAGAGACCAGAGTGAAGCGAAGACTGGGCGCACTTGAGTAGAGAATCAACGTTAGACTCTCTCTGAGTCACCCTGTAGAAGACGGGAAGTTACATCTTTAGATACATGTGATTATCAAGTCAGTTCAATAACTACGATATCTATCATTATCTACATATAAATAGAGGATTCTCTGTCTGTATTTTGATTTTTTTCCCACAACAAATAAGTTGAGGCACGTTATCATGGCTGTTTCACCAGTAATAACACCATCACAGACACACGTACTTCAGAAACTTCTGGAAGGCAAAGTCCGTGTCGTGTATAGGAAGCCATGCAGGGTCCCGTAAAAACTGTTTTTCTACTTCTGTCTCCAGGTTCAGGTTGGTGGGGGGAAGCCCATGAGGGAGCTGAGGAGGGAAAGAGGAGATATTCAGTTACTTAGGCAGAATGAAACCAGTTCAGCTCCTCCTGCTTCCCCCAGTAAATACTGTAAAGTAAAATACAGGAAAAATAAAGTGGCTAAGATAGAACAGTTTAGAGAAAACATATGTAGGCAACACTGGTGAACAGTGTTTAGTTTACATGGGTTATTTTAATACTTAAGTAATAATCAGAGTCTTGGTCAAGATGGCCAAATAAAACTGTTTCATACAAGCAGGGACCAAAACAAACACTGCAAACACATTCACAACAAAGAAGATGGAACATGAACTATGGGAAATAAGAAAGCAGTGATCATGTCCTATGACTCATCATAGTTTGACACAAGCCTGCAGTGAATGCACACATCGATCCTGCTGCACACTGACCGTGCTGTGTGGAGGCAGAGGCTGCCCGGGGAGGGGGTGTGTGATGAGCTCAAACCTGCCGGAGCATCCCATCTCCAGCAGGGACAGCGGCAGGTCCATGGGGCCCGCGGGGGGCACATCTGCAGGGGGAAAAAAACAAACCACACAATAGCAACACAAAGAGTTGGAATGGACACACAACAAGGACGGTCCACAGCGCAACCAGAGAGACGCGCCCAAAGAAAAAATGACGCTAACGTGTAGAAATCAGTTAGATATTTACTGAGACATTCAATCTGTAGACATTAAATAAATCTGAGTCATGAGGATGAGTGGAGCAGTGACTGACAACACCACACTGTGCTGCACACAACACGAGTCCAACAACACAGCACGACACTGCGCCATCATGTTAACGCGCGCGTGTGTGTGTGTGTGTATAATGAAGACACGGGTTTGATATTCATTCATCCACAACAACTCACTGGTTCTGTCCATGTCCCCTCTCGCAACCGGAAGCGAAAAAGTTGCCACAAACTGCTGGACACCAACGTCGCAGCGGAAGTTGTCGGAATTGAGAAGCGGAAGTCAGAAGTAGGAAATCATTAAAAAACATTTTAAAAAAAATAATAATTTCAAGTGTTTTTTATTTTTAAACAAATGCGTTTAAAATATATAATAAACCGTTAAAGTCAAAATCCATATAATTCTGTGCGTGATTCTAAAAGGGGGGGGGGGGGAATCGAAGGTGTTCAGCAGCTGTGACGTCAAATTCACGCGTCCGTGTTGTCGACGTACAGCACCGTTTGGTGAGTGAAGTCAATAAAAGCTAATAACTGCTTGATGAATTGATTTTAATGGCTCGTGTTGTTTTTATCCCGACAAGCCGGCGTGTGAGTGTTCGTGCGGTCGGGTCAGTTTTGTTTTTTCCTCGGGAAGCAAGCCCAGGTTTGCTCTGTGGCTAGCTAGCCAACTAGCTCCCCTGGGCTAGCAGCAGCTGAAAGTGAACAAACGAAGATGTTGGTGTTTGTTTAGGTTGAAAATAAAACGCAGTCGTTTCCGGTTGTTGACGCAGTTTTCTGTGCTGCAGCGGTTCACATCATGGTGGCGTTTCCGAGTTCACTGACGGAGGAAGAAGAGGCCCTGCAAAAGAAATATGCTAAACTCAAGAAAAAGGTGAGAAGCTTAAATACAAGTGAAAAGTCAAATTTAGTTTTTAATTGAATTGAAATGCTTTTCAGAGATGTTGAAGTGTGGGATTCTTTAATTGATGGGTACAGTAGAACCACTCATTACAATGCCCTATTCATTCTCTGCTCACTTTAAGACGAATATTAAAAGGTTGGAGATAATAGATGTGTCGCAAAATATTTCAGTGGAGGGGGGGGGGGTCTAAAAGTGATTAGCAAACTAATCCACAATTTAGGGCAAACAACAGAAAGTGCTCGATCATTTCTTGATTTTAAAACCAGTGAGAGTGCTTAGGGTAATCACTTTATGTTTTATTATTATTAGTATTATATATTACTTCATCATCTGTAGCTGTTTCATTTTTTAATTTGTGGCTGTTTCACTGTCTCTTAAGAAAAAGGCGCTGCTCGCCTTGAAGAAGCAAAGTTCCACCAACCAGACAAACCAGAGTGGCTTGAAACGAAGTAAGTGCATCTGACTCCACTCGACTCAACACTAACTTAACATTATCAAAACAGCATGTATTTTATGAATTTCTCTTTAAACTGCTTCATTCTACTAATTTATCAACATGGCATGTACAGAATATCTTTCTCACTCATTTATTTCACTCTTTTCTTCATCACAGCATTGTCGGACCAGCCCGTCGTTGATACTGCCACAGCGACAGAACAAGCAAAGATGCTCATCAAGTCAGGTGCCATCAGCGCCATCAAATCAGAGAACAAGAACTCAGGCTTTAAACGCTCTCGAATGCTGGAGATTAAACTCAAGGTAGAATGTGGTTTAAAAGCAAAAAAAAAGACTAATAGTCTGTTTGGGTATTAAATATTTTTTCTTACTTTATTTTGGCAGTTAATTAAATTTTTTATTTATTGATCTTTATCTGGCACAGGACCCTGAGAAAGGCCAAGTTCCTGCTTTCTTACCATTCCAGAGGAGTGTCTCTGCGGATGAAGAACAACCTGAGGTATATTGGCAATTTAAGGCAATATAACATGATCACTTTATTGCAATTGGCATCTCTCCTGTAATGTTTGTATTTCTCTTCTGAAATGGCATCAATTCTCGCTAGTTCAGAAAAGGACTGTAAGGGTTGAGGAAAAATCTGCACATCTGTATGTTGCACTTGAGCAGAAAACCAAAGGTATAGCTTATTGTGATGTTGTCTTATTTGTGCTTACTCTAGGCTGGGAAGAGAGCCCACAGGAAATCTCTGTACGAGAGGTAATGTGCAGAACCCACGGTTAATAAAAAAAAAAGCACCAGTTTTATTACACTGACAGTGAGACTCTTTGAGTGTAACATCATTTCTCTATATGCTCCCGCAGCTTTGTCAGTTCAAGCGACCGATACCGGGATGAAGAAGACGGAGGCGGCATGTCAGCCACCCGCGATGTGGACAGAGATAGAGACAGAGAGAGAGAGAGAGACAGAGAGAGAGACAGAGAGAGAGAGCGAGACCGCGAAAGAGATCTGGAAAGAGAGCGAGACAAGGACAAAGACAGGGACAAAGAGAGAGACAAAGAGAGAGACAAAGACAGAGACAAAGAGAGAGACAAAGACAGAGACAAAGAGAGAGACCTCGAACGGGACAGGGACAGGGATGGAGACAGGGACAGAGATCGGGAACGAGAAAGAGACAGAAGCAGAGACAGGGATCGAGAGCGAGATAGGGACCGGGAGAGAGACAGAGATGGACCATTTAGACGTGAGTAAACAATTTTGCAGACATCTCTAAGAATATTATCATCAGCTGAAAAGAATGCACTGCAGAGCTAATTCCTAATGTGTGAGTAGTTTGGTGGATGTCAAGAGACATGCTGGGCACATAAATGATGTGTCTCTGGCTCCCATGTGTTCGTCCTCAGGGTCGGACTCGTACCCAGAGCGGAGAGGAGTGCGAAAGGGGAACACAGTGTATGTTTACGGCTCTGGGCTCGTCGAGGACAGCCTGCGCTCTGCCTTCTCTCAACACGGCAACATCATCGACCTCTCCATGGACAACCCACGCAAGTAAGAACCCATTAAACAAAGCTGTGTGCCCATACAGGTCCTCTGTCTTTCTATCTGCTGTTCTGATGGTTATAAAGTTTATAGTATTTATAACAATACAGCGATACACGGGGTGATTAGATAAGACAATGTTCTCCCCTCTTTCTGTCTCATTCTGTAAAACTACTTCTGATTTATGTTTCTAGTTGTGCATTTATCACGTTTGAGAAGATGGAGTCTGCAGACCAGGCTGTAGCAGAGGTTTGTACTCACCTATTCAATCTCCTCCCTCTATAAACAATGTTTAATCTTCAAAAACAAAGTAACTTCCCAAAAAAATATTTGTCAAAGTTCAGACAAATTCAGAGCAGTGAGTCAGCCGTAACTTTACATTTACACTAATATTATTAAACGTATATCATTTTACACGGAAATAAAAAATGTTCAATATTCCCACAGTTGAGAATGAACTCTCATGTTTTAATTAATAAGAAATCGTGATTGTGATGTCCATTTATAATATTTATTTAGTTTAACTGTAGTTTTGAGGAAGCTCAGCTCAAGCAGACTGCCTGTGAAATCAACCTCACTGTTTTTGTCTGACAGTTGAACGGGAGCACGGTGGGAGACGTTCACATCAAAGTCAGCATCGCCAGGAAGCAGCCCATGCTGGACGCTGCCACCGGCAAATCAGTGTGGGCTTCGCTGGGTAAACGCTGCACTGTTATTGTTTGTTTAGACATCGATCAGACTGCACAGCGTGGATTAACCTTCACCACCGTCTCTCTTCTTTCACAGCTGTGCAGAACAGCACGAAAGGCTCCTACAGGGACAAGAGGAACCAAGTCGTGTACAGTGAAGATTTCCTCTGATGAAGGAAAAAAAAAAAAGTTGTTTTTGTATTTTGGCACATTTGTTTTAACGAACTGTTACTCAGTTGTTTACGGTGCTAGTTGTCGGGTTAATACAAATCTTCTGTAGCCTTTTGGATAATAGACAACTGTATTTCACATGATGTGTATGTGATACTGTATGTCACAGCTTTGCTCTTATAACCCAAGGTATTGATTCGTGGAGCAAAATAAATAGTATCCATACACCGTTACCCTGAATGAGATTTCCATTCATTATCAAAAAGACAAGTCAAAGTGGGAAATATATCCAACATCAATTCTTAATACATTGTTGTCAGAACCTCAATAATGCAGAAACAAGCGTCCAGATATTCACAGCTACTGTAAGTTACAATAACCATAGGCAGCATGGTAGCGTACAGTGTAAGTGTAGGAAAGAGCTGCAGCTCGTCTGATAACTACAGGTTATGTGTGTAAATACACAAAAATAAAAACCGCACAGTTCGTCCCAGTGATTTTCTTTTTTCTCAACAGTTTTTAAGGCAGGTTTAAAACTAGTGTTGGGCTTAGGCTGATATATATACAGATCCGGTTGCTGTCGACAATCAGTTACCAAGAAAACAAAAAAAACTGTTACAGCTTTTTCAATTTTTTTTGCAAAAACAGGCACAATATGAGACATTTACTTCTACAGATGTATGTCCCACAAACATTTAGCCTTTTAAGTTGTTATCAGGTCCACTCCTGAGAAATCAAATAAACACAGAGAATTAGACTGCTCTGTTCCTTTTGACATCTGAATATCAGAGTGTAAACTGCCATGAGGGGGTGTAAGTAGATATGGCTTTATCTGACCGCTATTTGCTCCTGTGCTTAAAAGACTCAAATCTATAAAACCTACGAGAATCTAAAATATACGCGGTTCATGGAATAGTCAGGATCTGCTCCACCTGGGCCAGTAAAATGCTGTTCAAAGCAATTATTGTTCCATCCATTGTCTATACTGCTTATACAGTAGTATAATACATTTGTAAATGATATCAATACTTCTTCCAACATCATCTAAGAACAGCATATGATATACTGTTCGACACGGTTGTGTGAGTAATGTATTTAGTGTAACACAAACGTTTAATGCACGTTGAGTGATATCTCCTGGTCTGGATGATTCCATCAGGTTTCTAAAGAGCCTTGAACAACAAAGATGGCCCAACAGACGTGTATGTACACAAGATAACGGATGAGCCGTAGAACAGTTTTCAAACATTGTTGGTCCAGTTTCAAAAACTTACTTTCTGGATAGTGCTTTGCTACAAAGGAAGAAATCGTATTACATCTTCAAATCTTTTATACATTGTTTGAAACCTTTATAGAAGCTCTGAGTGTTTTCTATTTATCCAGTAGAAACTACACAATTCACTGTAATCTGTGTAGTGTTAACCGACCTGCACGACAACAATCCCAGTTTTGATAAGACGTCTAATCGAGCATCGTTCAGTTGAAACACGTGTGGGAGGACTGTGGCTGTGTAGCTGCTTTGATGTGCACTGGGCCATGTCAGGAAATTATACACGTGAGTAATATCAACATCAAACAGAGAAGAGACATGTGAATGAATATTTACACTCCTAACTGTGGTCAGTAACAACACTGAACACGTCTGATATAGATTCAAGTTTAAGATCATATTCTGAATTGAACTATTCTAACACACGTTAAAATGAATGGGCACATTATGACAGTAGGAAAAGCACAGGTGTGAATAATGAAACTGAGAGCAGCTGGATTCCATTTCTCTTTCCAGTTTCAGGGTTTTTCACAGTTCATGTTGTTTCCGAGCCGCTGTTACTCTCATTCCACCTGTACTTTTATTAATATATGCAAATTTGAAAAACATTTCATTTTCACAGTCTGTGATTTTAAAAGGCCTCAAAGTCAGTGATCCCTCCACTGGACAGCAACTTTAGTCGAGACACTTTACTGTGTTTAAAATGTTGGCCTATGACACTTGTTCAGTCACCAGACATTCTTGTTCCTCCTCTCGTATTCTTCCAGCTGCCCCCCTCGCCCTCTCAATCTCCTCCTGCTCATACAGGGAGTTTTGCCCGGTGGTCTTTCCGTGTTGCTCCTTCAGGTGGCGTCGTAAAGCGGGCTTGTGAGCAAACCGGGCATGGCAGTAGGCGCAGTGGTGTGGGCGCTCGCCACTGTGGAGGTTCATGTGATCTATTAGTGTGGATTTTTGAGTGAAAGTCTTATAACACAGGGGACACTGGTGAGTTTTGCCAGCGCCCCGGTGCACGGCCATGTGCCGGGTGAAGTTGGCCGAGTGGTGGAAGTGTTTGCCGCAGCAGGGGCAGACGTACAGCAGGTGCGTGGAGCGGGAGTGGACGGCTAGAGAGTGAGCGGTGGGGAAAGTCATGCCGCAGTGCTCACATATTACAGGCCCTGATACGCTTGACGTGGATCCCACAACTGCGACGGACTCATCCCCTCCTTCGTTTGTTCCAACACTCGTCAGCCCTGAACTCCCCTCACCAGCGCCACTGCTCGACTCCTCCAGAGAATACTGGTTCAAACTGCTGCCTGCCAGTGGTGAAACTTTTTCTCCCTGAGTGTCGCCCACATTGAAGTCTAACTGTGGGAGGTCGACTGGTAAGTAACTTCCTGTCTTCAGCCCTTCCTGGTTGTAGTCCAGCCCAATACCTCCTTCTAATCCAGCTGTTGCCATGTACCACAGATCCTGGTGGTGAGCCATGCCCAGAGGTCTTTTCTCTTGAGATGATGCCCACTTTCTCCTTTTTAAACCCCTCCCCCGGCCACTCGCTCTGCCCCGTCCAATTTTCGGGTCGGACAGTCTGCGCCTGAAAGCACGGAGACCCTCCATTGTAACGCCCCCAGTGCTGAGATCCACTTTGCTTTGATCCAAGTCGTATTCGCTGCCTTCTCCTCCGATCACAAGACCATCTGTCTCTGGGAAACAAGCATCTTGAGGTCCATCAGAGGGAGCTCCCATCTCCTCCTCCCTGTCTCTGTTCATCTGCTCCTCTTCGGAGACATACACTCTAAACACGTCATAGTCTCCTGGTCTGGTCTCTTCCTCCTCGTCTGATGCATTAACCTGTAACAGAGTTGAAGACTGAGTCAAAATAATCACTTCTCTAAGCCTGAATGGTGAGATAAAGTACAAACCAAATTCTACTACATCAGTCTGGTCTCTTCTTTACACAAACACACACCTTAATACATGGGTCATCCAGAGCAGGACTGTCATCGTGGTGTTGACTGCTGCCCTGAGCAGACACGTCACCGCTGTTCTCCTCCCCCGATCGTCCTGCTGGACTGTGTGGGTCCACAGGGGAGGGCCGGCTGGTGGGGGGTGATGCAATAGTATGAATGCTTCCACTGACGATCACTGGTTGAGATGGACTCTCCTCTGCAGTCACCTAGAAGATGGAATGGGAAAGCATGTCAAGACTGCTCAAAACCTATGACAGCATCACTGAAAGCTTTGAGAGTGTATATAAACAGGTTTCTTAAAAAGATGGTGAGTAGCTACTTATGTAAAACTGGAGCAAACACATTTATGTGCTCAACACTTTGATTTATTTCCATGCTAAGCCGACTTGAAAATTATTTCCTGGCACTGTACAACTAAATACTTTGACCCTTTGGGTTGCTGACCTTTGGTGGACTGGGGTTCTTTAACTGGATGTACTTCTTCAGAGCTCCTCTGCAGTGCTCCACAATATGCTCCATCTGCAGATAGCTGGCAGCCGTCAGGTAGTTGACGATCTCCTCTGGGTTAAACTGCAGTGTACCAGTGTAGCAAGATTGGAGCAGGTCACACACAACCCGAGAGCTATACAGCATTGACACCTGGAGGAAAACAAAACAGAAACACATAAGCATCTAATTGCTGAACAACAAGGGACACAAGTATGACAGCTTTGACACTAAGTGCTTAACATCCGCTGACCTGAAGCCTCGGGGACGGGTTGAGGAGGAACTGGTCCCTCAAGAAAGGCGAGCAGGCAGCAAGCACCACCTTATGTCCCTTGAATGTCTGGTTGTTGCTAGCCACGATGGTGATGTCACAGAATTGCTGGCGGAACCTCAGTGAATTCATGTGCTTCAGGGTCTTGTCCCCGTGACCCGGCAACCGGAAACAAAGCAGCTCCATCTTTCCTGAGGAGACATTTGCGTAAAATAAATGAGGTGGTGTTCAGATGCTGACAAAATGGATGAGAAGAAAAACTAACAAACAGTGTTGCTCAATAGTAATAGGGTAGTTGAGACAAATAATGTGATTATAAGCTCCTTTACTACTGTATAAGATGAAGCTTTCAGTTGGTTAGTTTATAGTCTTTCTAAGTTTAATAAATATATTTTGTTTTTACAATACTTAGCACTTGTTCAACCTGAAGATCATGTGTCGTCAGAGCATGTGTTAAGGGAATGAGGTCAAACTGAGTCAACAGCAACAAACAACACTGTCTATTGTTTCTCAAAGAAGAGAAGCTGGTGGTTGGCCAATCTGAATAAGTTTCATCTGTGAGCCTCGTAAAAAAGAGAGAAAGGATTTAAACTAATCAGAAACAATGTTGGGAATCGATTTACATCTGTATCACCAGTTCAGCAACTATGAGACACATTACACGTTAATCCAGTTAGCTCACGCCTGCTAACAACACACGGGTTTCAAGTCAAGTGGCGTCCATTAAAATAATAATAATACTAATAATTATAATAATAATAATAACACGAGGCCCTGTAATAAACGTGAGAAGCTGAAATCCATCGGGACACAGATGACTCTTCTTCTCGTGGCCTAGCTAACCCACTTGTCTGAAGCTAACGTTATTAACTAGTTAGCTTGCTGGTGGCTCCCCCTCCCCTCCCTCCCTCCCTCCCACACATTAACAAACAGCTCGTGTTAAACTTCCTCACCTTCCTCCGGTGCTCTCGTTAAATATCTTCCAGGGGGACAACCCGGGGCTCCTTGTCTCAGTGGGACAAGTCGTTAGCTGGGTCCGTTAGCCGCCGCCGCTGGTCGCACATCCCCGTCGCCACTAGCTTCTTCTCCCACCTCGCCGTGTGTTTACTTTTTTCGGCCTCTTTGTGGCGCATCGTCCCGTGACAACACACCGCCGGCCCCTCGTCGACGCTGACTCTGGGTCGGTTTCCCGAGGAGGCATCGCCCCTCGATCGAGCGCTAGCGTTAGCCCCGCTCACTGACTTCCGATCAGCGTGTTTCTACAGCAACAGACCCGGAAGAAAAGACTGGTGGATGGTAGGGGGGGCGGGGCTTTGGCGGTGACGCAGCACGTTATTTACGTGGGGAACGCTCGTCGGGAAACATGTCGGCATCCGAGACAACGACAAAGGTAGAAAACCTCACTGCTGCACGAACCTGCGCCTTCACGACACCTCGCGTCGTTCCAACACTTTGCAAAGCATCAGCCCTCGTGGCCCAAACCCCGCTAGCTCACCTGCGCCGTGCTGCATCCGAAAAACACCTCCTTTTCTCGCCTGTGAGAGCTGCTGGATGCTAGCTGTGCTACCTTGCTAGCCGCACTAGCATCTAACAGTTTTAATTGTTTTCTCCTGGCTGTCGGTGTCTTCACTTGTTTCCACGATTCCCGGGACGTTCGCATCCACCGCTCCTCCGCCATCTTGTGCCGCATTCATCAGCAACGAATGTGTTTGCTTGATCTTAACGTGCTCGCATCGTGAACAGAATCTGTTCTGTGAACATCTTGTTCATTGCATGAATGGATGAACCGATGGGCTTGAGATCGAAATGCAACTCCTCAAACAAGCGTGTCACACATTAGCTGTCATGGTTATCTGGTTTGTTTTCATTGAATGGTGAGAAAACAGTAAATTAGTTATAACACACGTTTCGGCTCAACATGATTCACCTCTGAAGTGTTGTTGTATATTCTTAGTTTAGTTTTTGTCGTGTGAGATCCTGTTCTTCTTAAAAATAGAAGATCACAGTAACAAAGTTTGTGTTTTCACGGTGAAAACATTGCACATCTCCAGCAGCACCTCTATTAAAGGCTGGACGATATTAAATCCAAAAGTGATGTCAAGATGCTGTCACTTATCATTTCTTTCCTGAACGAAGGTTGAGTTTTGAAGCAGAGAATCACAAACATGATAAAAAGCAAAACATATTATATATCAGACACATTGCATAAGAATTATATATGGAACCAGTGTCATATTGATGAAAATTACATTGAGATGGTTGTTGATTTAGTTTTATAGCCTAGCTAGCCCTAGCTAAACTGTCTCTCATTCTTGTTTGTTTAAACCTGAACTGCAGTTAACTACTTTAACATTACACATCATTGTTTTATATATACATTTCAATATCCAGCTGTCTGTAACCCAGCCTATCAGATACCTTTTAAAATAATTGATTCATATTTCCTCACATGTTTTCCTGTTGCGTGTCCATCAGGAGCCTCCTGAAGGAAATGACTCAGAAACACCAGCAGAGTCCTTAGCTGGACCAAGTCAAGTCAAGGAAGGTACGTCAACATCTCATGCATAAGGGTTAATGCTAATGTTTATTATCTGTGCATATCATGAGAACAAATTAAAATAATTATATAACTACTTTTATTGTTGGTCCATGTCTGTGCTGGTTTGAAAAGTCATGCAGAACTGTAAATGTTTCTCAGATAATGCAGCCGCCACCACCGTTGCTGTCGCAAAGAGGACAGAGCACACAGGTGGTATGTCATCGACATTGTCATCACAACAGCCGAGTAAGGACGCTGCCCTGAACAAACCTGCTGCTGGTGAGACTTTGATCCATTTAGCATTTTATTGATGTTGCAGAAACTCTGGCTCTCGGTTTGAGTTACTTAATCCAATCTCTGAGAATTTACTAAGTAGCATATTAACATAGCTGGATAAAAATAATAAATACAACAGCTGTCATGCAGGTCCACTGTTTGCTGAAGTACAAATAAGTATTGGTGCCATTTAGTGTAAATGTAAATGGTAAAAACCATACAGACTTTTACTTTGCTGAGGGAGATAAAGATACTTACACTGTCAAAACTAATGTGGTATTTATTTCTTGTGGAGGATTTTCTTAAGGAGTCATAGGTAATTGGTTTTTACCTCCCTTCTTCAGGCCACGCAGCAAAGTCTCTTCCTTCAACGTCCTCCTCTTCGTTGTCCTCCTCTCCCTCTACGTCATCAACGCTGTCCCCTGGCCGAGCAAAGATGAGCGTTTCTGGACCCGGTAGCAGTAAATCCGTCCTTCCACCTGCTCCCTCCTCTTCCTCCTCCTCCTCCTCCTCGTCCTCTTCTTCCTCTGCCACAGCCTCCTCATCTCCCTCAGTCTCCCCTGCCCCTACCAAGATCCACCGAGCCCGCAAGACCATGAACAGGCCACCACCAGCACAGGTTAGCCTCTTTCATCTCCAGCAATGAGCTTGCATTTTCATTTGGACTGGGTATAATTACATTTGGTCATCTGTTTTGATATTTAACCCCAATGTCTGGATTCTTGAACAGAGTGATACTCTTGTAGGTGTGTTGTTGTTAGAAAATCCTGCAGCCACTGACAGAACACACAGTATTGTAGTGGTTCAGGTTTTTCTTGGAACTTTTTCATTATCTTTTGAGTCGATTATTATTTTTATTCCACAGATTAGTCATGGTGAAGCACCTGCTGCATCTGTTAATCCTTCAGGATCCTCTACCTGCCTTCTCTCTGACTCTGAAACAGGTCGGTAGCTTTAGAATATTCACATAAACTAATACCTACCTGTGTAAAATAACAATAACTGCTGTGAATTAAAATGAGCCAGAGTACCTTGTTTGTATTTAAACTCACACTATCATGGTTAATGGTGCTTTGTCGTGTTTCCAGTCACTGTAAAAAGGAGAAAACTGGATCACTTATCTGAGAGCAGCGCTGAGAAGTCTGAGAACATTCCTGAAAACACTGAAACTGTGGTAAGGGGATGTTTGTTTTTGGTGTATAATTCTATAAGATTTGTTTTCAGTTGTTAATGTGTATTGCTGGTATATGTTCTTATTTCTTTTAAAACGCAGGAGGAAACATTATTCCTTAAAAAGGTTGAGCCTGTTGCCAAGAGTACACCAGTGAAGAGCAATGGCAGCGTGGAGAAGTTAGAAGAGGAAGCAGCCAAAAATACGCAGATTTCCAGCCCATCCACACGAGATTCAGAAAAGGTGTGAAACTGAATTTACATATTGTCCCTTTAAACATTATCAACACATTATCAACAAACATGCCTGTTGTTTAACATTATTTTCTATTGAAAAAGTAATACTCATTATTAGATTTGCATTTGTTTTTGTTTATTTTATAGTTTGACGATGTTGGGGGAGAAGAAAGGCAGCATGCTACAGACAAAGAGGGGTCAGTGAACTTGTCAGATCATGTGAGTGATTCTATCTTTCTTACTACCATGATAATTACTTTCTTATCTCTTACTTTGTTTTTTTTATCACATCACTCTCTGTTTACACTTAGATGATGTCACTCTCAACTACCCTTCTACTAGCTCACACAATACCGAGGGTATAATAGATGATTTTTCTTCGATTACACAACTCAAACTCTTCCCATACTTGATAAGAAAGAGCGCACCACTTGCTTGGCTGTAATGGATTTTCTTTCTTTTCGATTAAAAAATACTTCCCATCACACAAATCACATGCTTATATTCACACACAGCCTTTTTCCCTTGCAGAGTTCAGAGTCTGAAACACAAAGAGCTGTCCAGAGCAGAAATGAGAGCGAGGAGTCTTCATGGCCACAGTCAGACCAGGACAAAGAGAGAAACAGTGCTGATGTGGACGTGGTGGAGACAGTGGGGGGTGCAGGAAGGGCGGCAGAGTACACAGAGGTCCCCTTGGGTGCTCTGGACATCGCTGCTGCCGACAGTCTGACCCTCTCTCCTCATCACGGTATGTTGTTGATATTGTGGAAAAGATGTGTTTGAGGACAATGAAAAGAGGGATGATTGGTTAAAAGGAATTTAAAGTTGATAATAAGGCATTTGTTTAGCTCATTCAGTCTCAAATCAACAGCTGCCCTAAAACCACAAAGTAATCCCATGAGATATGTAACTGTCCTGCTCCCTCTGCAGACGGCAGTGATGCAGGAGACACAGAGCGGCTGGAGGAGCTTCCTCTGTGCAGCTGCAGGATGGAGGCTCCCCGCGTCGACAGCACCAGCCACCGAGTCAGCAAACAGTGCAGGGCCACCGAAAGCATCAACGGAGAGGTCTGTCCCAGGTTTCCTCTCTTGTATATTTGTATCTACTCTGTGTGTAGTCCTCTGAATTAAGAAATGTCACATACATCAGAGGGTGGAGCATCAAAGTTTGTTCCAACACTGGCTTACTACAGACAGCTGGGAGCATTTAACCTTTTTACTTCATCCCTGAAAAGTTTACTCTGAAACTCTGTGGGATTTCTTTTACTTCCAATGTCCAACTGTGTAATATTTCCTCTCTTGCTCCCTGTTTGTCAGCTGAGGGCTTGTACCAGTCACACTATTAAAGGGGAGACCATGCGTCCATCCAGTCGGGTGCCCCTCATGGTGCTTTGTGACGTTCATCGTTCACACATGGTCAAACACCACTGCTGTCCTGGCTGTGGATACTTCTGCATAGCGGTAAGAGTTAAAACCACCTGCTGTCATTATCAAAAATACTATCCTTCTTTCATCGTCTATGTTATCCTACTTTATTCTCCTCAATATCCCACCTCCTGCTCCTCTGTCTCCTTCATATCACAAATCTTTCCCTCCTCCAGGGTACATTTCTCGAGTGCTGCCCGGATCAGCGTATCGCTCACCGTTTCCACCGGGGTTGTGTGACTGTGCTGAGCGGAGGGCGCAGCAGGTCAAACGGTGGCGGGATGCTCTTCTGTCCCCACTGCGGTGAAGACGCCTCAGAAGCCCAAGAGATCACCATCCCCTCCTTCAGCTCGGCCACTGCCTCCGCAACCACCGTCGTCACCATGTTGGCCTCCTCCACCACCACCCCGTCTCTGCCACCGTCTGCCCCCACGGCACCCTCCCTCACAGCCTCCACAGGGGGGATGAAGGACGGGAAAATGCCTGAAAGACCTGTCAGGTAGGATTGAATGACACATAAGAGAATTGACTGTATACATTTAATTAGCTAAACTTAACCCTCATTCTTTGCCTCCTCTAGTGCTCGTATGCGTAGCAATGGTTTGGTAACGCTGGCGGTGGAGCAGCAGCAGCCTCCACAGCCTGTAGCCTCTGCAGCGACTGTAGCCACAGTCCCCCCAGCAGAGGAGGGAGTGGACAGTGTGGGACCCTCACTCTGCATGCCAAATGGGAAACCCATCAGCCCCAGTGCACTTCCACCTGGGCCCAGCAGGGCGGCGCTGCAGAAGGCCATCCTAACACAGGACACAGAGAGGCAGGAGTTCAGATTTTTATAATTTCCATTATTTTCTTTAACTCTTCCAACTGAAATGTCATGTTTGATCAAAAGGGAAGAGATCAGACTATTTCAAATGAAATCAAAATGGTTTCTTTTGATTCGCCAGGAGGAAGAAACTTCGGTTCCACCCTCGCCAGCTCTACCCCGCTGCCAAGCAAGGAGAGGTGCAGAGAGTTCTGCTGATGCTGAGTGAGTGCTGGGCTGTGACGTGTACTTCTCATCTGCTTTGACAGAGCTGAATGGATCAAAGACTGTTTTTCTGATGTGTGTTTGCGTGTGTGTCAGTGGAGGGTATAGATCCAACGTATCAGCCTGACTCTCAGAACAGACGCTCTGCTCTACACGCTGCGGCTCAAAGAGGTCTGCTGGAAGTCTGCTACATGCTGGTGCAGGTGAGAATATACAAGTTCTGTATATCATCTTTTCACATGATTAGCAGAAATTAATACATCATTCTTTTTGCAACATCTGTTTTGATTTATTGAAAAACACTTTTTATTTTGTGTGACCATCACAATTTCTCCGATCTTTGATGACTTTTAAATTTGTCCTGACAGGCTGGAGCTCATGTCGATGCCCAAGACAAAGACCTGAGGACTCCTCTTGTGGAAGCGATCATCAATAATCACATCGAGGTGGCTCGCTACCTGGTCCAGAACAGTGCCTGCGTCTATCATGTTGTGAGTGTCTGTTGGATGCCTGAAATAAAACAACATGAGCGTGAACTTGCAGAGACGAGGTCGATACAGGTTTCATTCTTCTGTTTACGTCATTAATTCATCAGGAGGAGGATGGATACACTGGCCTCCACCACGCAGCCAAACAGGGAAACCTAGAAATGGTCAGCATGCTGCTGGAGACGGGGCAGGTTGATGTGAATGCACAGGTAAAGGAAAATGCAAAATGTCAGCATTGTACGATCGCATTGTGCTATTGCAGGCGGATGACACCGAATGATTCGAGGCGAGCATCACAATATTTAGATTTCTTCTTCTTTGTGGTTTTCAGGATAGCGGTGGGTGGACGCCGATCATTTGGGCTGCAGAGCACAAACATGTTGACGTGATCAAAGTGCTGCTCAACAGAGGAGCTGACGTCACCATCAATGATAAGGTAATATGATAGTCCACACTGGGCCTGGTAAGAAGTCTGAAGATGAGCATGCCTGCTAATATACACTAACCAGAGACAATCCTAAAGCTATGTAGACTGAAAGGGTATTCCTGTTGTCTTGTAGTAATGGAGACAAAATGAATGTAGTTGTTTGAAAATATTTCAGGTTATTACTTTAAACAGTCCCCGCTTTCCCTCCAGGAGTTGAACGTGTGTCTCCACTGGGCGGCGTACGCGGGGAACGTGGACATCGCGGAGCTGGTGTTGAACGCCGGTTGTTCCCTGGCGTCAGTTAACATGCACGGAGACACGCCGCTCCACATCGCCGCCAGAGAGGGATACTTAGAATGTGTTACGTGAGTCAATGTCAATCACAAGTTGTACAACTGATTAATGTGGCAGTTTTAATTATTTTTGTTTTAACGCTCTCTTCAGTGACAAACCAACAGTGAAGTTAATTTGTTTCTGCAGGTTGTTTCTCTCCAGAGGTGCAGATATTGACGTCATGAACAGGGAAGGAGACACCCCTCTCACCCTCGCACGGGTCGATACACCAGTGTGGGTCGCACTCCAGATCAACAGGAAGCTGCGGAGGGGAATAACCAATCGCATGCTTCGGACTGAAAGAATCATCTGCAGGTAGGCTGTGTTGTGTTTTTAATAATGGCATCATCCTTGTATGTAACCAGATTTGTTTCTTCCTCTTGTTTCTCTGATATTTTATTCTCTGATAATTCTAATTGAACTCTTCGTATCTTGTCCCAGTGATGTTGCCCAGGGTTACGAGAACGTACCGATTCCCTGTGTGAATGCAGTGGATGATGAGGGCTGTCCTTCAGACTACAAATATGTTTCAGAAAACTGTGAAACGTCAGCAATGAACATAGACCGCAACATTACGCACTTACAGGTAAAATCCAGCTCTTGATTGGACGTCACTAACCTCCTGTTAGCGAGCGCTGCTAAATCACCTACTGTGGAAATCCCATCTTGTTGATTGAAGTATCTTTTCTTCAGCACTGTAGCTGCACCGATGACTGCTCTTCTAGTAACTGCCTTTGCGGACAGCTCAGCATCCGGTGCTGGTACGACAAGGTAAATGCATTTATGGTCTCTTTTCAACACTGACCTGGATTCAGTTGCATTGTGAGTAACAGGATTTGACCAAGAAGGTGTGAAATGATAAAAAGCATCTCTGGTTCTGCTGCATTAATTTTTAAAAAATCTTTTTGTGCTTCAGCTTTCTGATAATGTTGAAGGAGTGTGATGATGAGTCTGTGGCGTTTGACCAGCTTCATGTGTATCCCACAGTGGAATTAATCTCAACCTGCTCTTTCTTTCTTTCTGTCCAGGACCAGCGGCTGCTCCAAGAGTTCAACAAAATCGAACCTCCTCTTATATTCGAATGCAACATGGCGTGTTCCTGTTATCGAACATGCAAGAACAGGGTGGTTCAGGCCGGCATCAAGTAAGCGCAGCTCATGTAACATAATGGTCATCAACCATGTGTCGTGTAAGGTTAAGGTATTCATGGTCTGTTGTTGTTATCAGCAGGTTTAGATGTTTATTCTTCACCCTGGAAGTCAACAGTAGCAAAACAGTAATTATTATCGCAGATGATTGACAGCTCTGAACAACACTGTGGGGCAACTGTAGTATGAGCTGCACACTGAAAACAATATAAACAGTATTTGTTCATTATGAATTAGTATGAACACTGTTTTTTCTTGTGTCTTAATTTCCTCTTCTTCCGTCAGAGTCCGTCTTCAGCTCTACAGGACAGAGAAGATGGGATGGGGCGTCCGAGCCCTGCAGGATATTCCCCAGGGAAGCTTCATCTGCGAGTAAGAAAAACAAATCAACAACAGGTTGCTTTTTATACGGAAGATCTGAGGTTAAAAGATTCTGTCCTCTTTCCTCACAGATACGTCGGAGAGCTGATCTCTGATGCAGAGGCAGACGTCAGAGAAGACGATTCTTATCTTTTCGACCTGGACAACAAGGTGAGTCTTTTGAAAGCCTCCCTTGTTTTTCAGTTGATGACGGTCACGGAAAAACATGCGAGGTCGAGGAGTCAGCACGTTTCCTGTATAACCTGTAATTAATAACCAAACCAGACCTGATCCTGGGGAGTCGACTAACAGATTCTGTGTACAACTGCTGAGAAGCAAACATTTTTTAGCTCGCAGCAGACTTCAGTGTGGAAGGTGCAGTCTTGTTGCTCAATTACCAGATGACATCACATCAGGATGCGTCTGCTTTGTCTGACAGGTTTGTTTTTTTTCTGTGCAGGACGGGGAGGTGTATTGTATCGATGCCCGGTACTACGGCAACATCAGCCGCTTCATCAACCACCTGTGTGACCCCAACCTCATTCCAGTGCGTGTGTTCATGCTGCACCAGGACCTGAGATTCCCCCGCATCGCCTTCTTCAGCTCCAGAGACATTCTCAGTGGACAAGAGCTCGGGTGAGAAGTCGTGATATTTGTCGTCAACGTATTATTTCTTAATTTACATCCTCTCATCTGCATATTTTTTATTCTTGCTTAAATCCATATGAGCGCCTTTTCCTTTTTCTCCATCTATTTCCATTTTAAATTCCTCGAGTCATATTTTTATTGAATTGTGGAAACTTTGCATGTAAAGATTTATTTGTTCCAAAACAGAAGTCACCTGGAATCCCATCTGAGTTTACTGCCCTTATCTTTTTCATTAGGTTTGACTATGGAGATCGCTTCTGGGACATAAAGAGCAAGTACTTCACCTGTCAGTGTGGATCAGAGAAATGCAAACACTCGGCGGAGGCCATCGCCTTGGAGCAGAGCAGGCTGGCTCGGCTGGAGGCCTGCCCAGAATCGGGAGCTGACTTTGGGATGACCATGCTGGGAAACTCTTAAAACACTCAACCACGGGGCCTTTGGATTTGCCTCTTCATTTTTTCTTGTGCACATTGGCAGTGGAAAAACACCATTATGTTTTTTTTCATGTTTAAAATTCTGTATTTGATGCATGGTGCTGTTTTTTCGACTCGTGATATTCTTTGAGGACACGCGCCTTAACATTTTTAACGTTGTGTGTATTATGTCTGAAGAACACAGAAGGTCTTGTGATCCTGTACGTACAGTATTTTTACTGTATCTCACTCTGAACATTTGCCTTGACACATGAAGTTTGTGCATTAGGACTCTGCCAACATATAACATGTATTTTCTGTCGCGCCAACAAACACAAAGTTTTCTTGCCACAGTGCTTAATGAGTGGGCCTCCAGCTCATACTGGACTCAATGAGGACCTGAGAGACGGTGTTGTTTTGGATGACTGTGTTAGCTATATTTTCTTTATTTTTATACATTTGTTCTTTTGTCACATCTAGTGTAATAAATTAGCTCATGAGTTGATCTTTGGGCTCTTGTAATAAGTGTGTAAGAAGTGACAGTTCTTCTTTCCTTCAACACAGCTGCCATACAATTCCATCGGTGTATAAAGAGTCACCTCATGCTGAGTGATTTTTAAGTTTATACATCATCAGGGTTTGAAAAAGAGATGTCGACTGTACCACCAGCAGGGGGCGGGTACAGGCCTCAATCAAAACATGATGAGAGAGAGGGAGACGCACTGGCCTCAGTCAGAGATCAGAGCAAAGGAAGAAGTCTCACTCTGCTAGTGTTTCTATCACAGACTGGATATAAAGATGGACGACAAAACAGCTACCCAAAAGTGAAGCCAAAGCGTCTTGATTGTCCTGCTTTTCTTCAGGATTAATAAAGTTCTATTTAATCTTATAACAGGCTGAGTTTTTGAGTGTGAAGCCTGCATTTCTCATATTAATAAGATGACTCAGAGAGGCAGAGAGATAAATAAAAATATATGCTTGAGTTGTATAGATGAAGGAGTTGCAGGAGTAAAACAATACATAATAAATTCAACATAGAATAAAATACAGTGATAGTATGACCTTAGAATTTATAAAATACTTTAGCAAAAGGCATTTGTGAGTATTTTGTAGTCTGGATTTCATAACTGCCATAAACAACATTCACAAATGCCTTTAGTGTTCCACGTTTACTGCCCCTTTGGATGTAAATAGTTTTAGTTTTGTGTCTAGTATATTTGACTTTTTTTATATTAAGTTGCTCTGTTGAGCTGAGCGGTTCCTTCTCGTCCAACACCTTTCCATTTTACCGTTGACCCTTTGTTCACTTGCATATGAGAAAGAAATAAAAACTTGAAAAACTCAAGTACTATGTATAAGTATATATGATATTTCAAGACGTCAAGACTCGGTCATGTGCACAACAATCACACACAGCTGGCAATGGAGCTCTTGGGTCCCAGGCTCCATCCAACCAAGCCCGGAAATATTTAAATACAAAACATACAGAATAGAATAAAACTTGAGTAATAAAATCAAAATTGCAAAATCAAATATAAGAAAATAAATATATAATATAATGTGGTGTCTGTACATCTGTAGTGGTTGGTGAACTTCGCGACATTTCCTCCACGAGTGACTCCTCTGCACCGGGAGACGATCTTTCCTCGATCGGTGCAGGTGCGCGTCCCTGGGCAGGTGCGCGGGTGACGTCAGTGCCTAGTAACGCGCCTCAGGAAGAGGAAGATGTCCCTCCTCCCTTAGTTACGATGGTCGCTCGGATTCTCGCCTCTCATCAGGACTTCTCTGCGGATTCGATCTCAGGCTGAGCTCCGAAGCTGACGGAGGACAGGTGGAGTCATCATGGGTAAAAAACAGGAGCAGAGCCCGGAGCCTGAGTACGGTGAGTCCGCCGGGGCCCCGGTGAGTTAAGTTACCGGAACCTGAAAACAAAACTTAAACCGCCTCGTTCACTTTTAATGTTTTTTAGAGAAACTGCTCGATGTTTGTGTTCACGTTGAAAAGTGTGACTGTGATTTGAATGCTTGGTCAGATTCACTTTATTTAAATCAAGGTTACAAAGTTCAGTTTTAATTCACATGTGAAGTCAAATAACAAGCAGTTTATTTAGATCCACGGTGCTAACGTCACATTGGTTTTATGTCTTTTACATGGCAGAGATCAGAGACAACAACAGCCACAAATAAAAAAGGGTGCAGTGGGAGATACTTGATTGAGAACGTGTCACTGGCCTGAAGGTGCAAAGTCCAGTGTTGTCATCATCCATTTGTTTTCCATTTGTCTCGTAATTAAAGGTTCAGTGTCGAGAATTTAGAGACATCTAAAGGTGAAGTAGCATGTTGCAGCTGAATCCGTATCTCATATGGCGTCTGACTGGCTTCAATATGAAAAGGAAGAATGAAAGTCAGACCCCCCCCCCCCTTCCAAACATGACAGAGAACCTGTGGTATCGTCTTAACAACTCAAAAGTTGTTTAGTTTGTCCAGTCTGGGCTACTGTAAAAAAACAAATCAATGTTAATGTGAAGTATTTAAATACAATTGCGACAATTTAGATAATTACACACTAGTGAAAACATAACTGAAATTATTTTATGTTCAATTTCTGCCAATAGATCAATTTCCCCTAAGTTTTACACACTGGAACTTTAAAGTTTGTGATTGAGCTCTTCACCTCTAACTGTAGGTGTGTGTGCTCTTGTTATGTCGTTTGCCAACGCTGCCCGTGTACAAACATGTTTTACTGTTTTACAAACCACTTATCAATTTATGTCACATTCATAGACGAGTCAGATCAGCCAAGTTACTTGACCTAAAAACACAGCAACGCTTGAAATGAACGGGCAGCTTGGATTTGTGTATCTAAGTGAATTTGAAAGAAATAAAACAAATCTTTAATGATTTTCAATGATAATATGTTAAATCATACAATTAGAAACATGAAAGCTGAGGATAAAGCTTGGTTTAATCTAATTTAACATCCCACTAGACAATGAATGTGACAGAAGATGGTAAAGATTGATCTTTGATTTATTTTGACATTGGATTTATTGTTATATTATCAACTTATACTCCAGTTATTTTCTAAACCGACTGTTTTGTCTATAAAATGTAAGAAAAGCCAGCAGGACAGCCTCGTGTATTTTTGCTTGGATGTCACTTCAATGATTATCTCCATAGTTGCTGATTGATTTAATGTAAATCAATTATTCACCTCTTGTATCACCTCAGAACCCCTGAGTCTTTGAGTGGTCGCTGTTGTGATACGCACAGATTACTTCTTATCTCAAGGCAGTAACATGTTGAATGGATCATTTTTGCTGTGAGAAGTAACTTGTAGTTCAGTGTCTGTTGTTGCTGATGATGCTGAGAAGATTTTGTGTTGTGTGTACAGCAGATCCCTGACTGTCTGTCCTGTTTGATATATCGATGAAGTCACAAGTCTATTGACAGTCTGGGAGGTTTCACAGGGCTCCAGAAAACAAACCCTCCCTGGGAGTAAATATCAAGTCGGATTTCACGGCTCCTCAAATAACTCCTGAGAAATAAGGCGACGACTAGTGTCAGTCAATGTTTACCTACCGTGGCCAAACTGTGACAACTGAACCTCTGTTCTTTTTATATGTAAATTCATGTTCTCCTTTTACGCATCACCATGTTTTTTAATTAGGAATCTGCCTCCTGCTTCCTCTCTACCAGCCTACATGAGGAGATATATTTATTCTCATCTTATCTGCTTATATTTCCACTCTTGCATGGAGCGATTGTAACAAACACAATTCCCCCCTGGGATCAATAAAGTATTTCTGATTCTGAAGTAAAAATCCTTTTAACTGGTGATGAGGCTTTGATCACACGTGTCTCAGGTTGGTTGCGTTTGGCAAGTTACACATTTAAAACCTGCTTGATTTTTCCTGTTTTGCAAGTTAGTGTCGACACTGAGCATGAGGAAACTGTTGCAGCAAATCATTGACCAGAAAATTTGCCAAAACGCTGCTTAAGGGGTCCTATTTTTAAAACACAGGCTACTTAATAAAGCTAATGTCTAAAGCCATGAACTGGTGTACAGCTTACTGAATACACGAACAGACACTATAACTATTCAGAGATGAATCAGTTAATGTTTGTCAAGCAGTAATGCCAAACTTTGCCTTGCTTTTTAATTTGATGCCTTTTTTCTATCATATGATAATAAACTAAATCTTTAGGTTTTTGTCCAATAATTTGAAAACGTCATGTTAAGCATATATTGGTCATCGTAACATTTTTAATTTTAGTTGCACCTCTACTCTAACCATGTCCTCTGTATGTGGACAGTACAAGTTGTTGACACGTTAAACACAAATGTAGTCAGGAGTCACAAAACAGTTTCAACGTTCGGATCAGTCACGTCCCTCACCCTCGTATATTTGAAACGACTTTGCATGTTTGACTGGCTTTGTTTCTTTGCTTCGATACTAATTAACCAGGTTGTCATTTCTTTTTACGGACATATGTGAGAGGGCGAGGTTTGTCCATAAACCACACAGCCTGTACAATATTCAATCACTTATCTTTCAGTCAAGTGACCTGTGTCTTTGCTTTTTGCCACGAATAATTCGTTTGTGTGTGTTACTTGACTCAGACAAAAGAAAACCAGTTCCCTCGCCTGTGTCACTCCTCTCTAGCCAAGCTCAACTGAAGACCCTCACCCCCGCTGTCATGTAGGGTTTTTGCAAATCCCAGTAATAAAAGCAAACCTTTGTGGGGTTCAAGGTTTGAAGGTTTAAAGTGTTCCGACAACTTTTGATGAGAGCATAAAAACAGAGAAGTCCTTTATGTGTGCTGCACAGTCAGACATTTTCACCGCGGTATCCTAGCAGAGTTGAAATCTGACACTGCTGGCATGACATGTTTGATCCGTTTTTTTTCTTCCTTGTTCCTCTGTCCACTTGCATTCACGCACTTGTTTTTATGTTATGTATGATCCACATCAGATATTTCTTCTGGAGAGAGTGAACCCTCTACTCCAGAGTTCAATTTGAACTGTGTTTTCATTTGTTTGGTGCTACGTTTGTTTACCGGCCTGTGTATTGGACTGTGTGAGTCTTAGGAAGAGACACTGACTCTCTGCATCCTGCTTGTATCCTGAAGTGAGAGTCTGCTGGCAGTGTTGACACAGCTTCCATTTGCTCCTATTCAAATTACATGCCAGTCCAGATAACATCGCTCCAGCCTCAGTGAGAAACGTTTATCGTTGGTGAGCTGCCTGATAAATGTGAACCGATCAAATGACCAGAGCACGTTCTTAATAATCTCATCACACTGAAGAGCCGATGCAAAAGTGTTGCTGTATCATTACACATACTTGAGAAACAGTTTTTAATGACAAGGACTTCACCACCTCCAGAGCAACAGGATAATCCCCAGAACAGTAAAACACATTTTACATTACAGTGATTTGACAAACTCAAACCAAACTCCACAGTAACACAAGAAGTGTTCATCAATACTTTTATTGATGTGGATCAGAATTGTCAGATTCTTTTTTTGTTTTTTTTCATTTGAATGATTCTCCTGTGTTCTTCCTGTCTGTCGGGATAATGCACTGAGGCTGGTTGAGCCGCAAAGATCTGGAAATTTTCAACAGGAATAGTAACAGGAATATTTTCAGCTGAGAATCTATTCTAAGTTTTTCATACTGACAAATCCAAATTCCAATCAGTGTCTCTCACTTGTCTTAAAGCCTCCATTTGAATTCAAATTTCATTCAAACAAATGTGAGCTCGCAGTGAAATCCTGCTCCTCCACTCGCATCCTTTTCTCTGTACTTTCATCACTCAGAGAACGCACATCTCCACCACGGCCACTTAATCACCACATTGCGTATGTATCGAGGTCTGCACCTGATTTAACCTGCTCTTAGGTTTGAGCATTCGAAACCTGCCTGATCTCTGCCCAAGTTTCTAGAAAATTGGTTTTGTATTTATTGTGTAATTCTGCTGACAGTCAGAGAAACACCAATGAAAACATCACCTCCTTGGTAACACATGTGAATTGCTCTACTTAGTATGGAAGCAGCTTGTCGTGTCACTGGATTTCATTGTGTGTTCTTTCTGGTGTCTCGCACTCTCTGTTCCAGGAAACAATAGTGAGAGCTTTCTTTCTTGTAATCTAGCTGCCTCTGACATACTTGTTATATTGTAAAGCTCTGGTGAGCAGCCAACCCGTAAAAACATAGAACACTCCTTCTCTGGTCCCTAAAAATGTTTCGTCATCCAATCTGTTCATTAACTCAAAGAAGATTCTTTATTGCTTGGAAACAGCAACAACCTTTGTTCACAGATCCCTTGTTTCCTAAAGTTTACATTTTTTATTTAATGATTAACGATTTGATTTAATGCCACTATCTTATCGACTCATCTCTTGAGGTGACATTTCAGGATAGCAAATCCAAGTGATTAAGTTATATGTCCTTGATAATCTAAAAACAAACAAACAAGGAAGTTACCTTTTTAACCACTAGTCAGTAAAGGTCAAAGCACTTTTATGAGACTGAATAATTGTTTTTTTCTTTCCCCAGGAGAATCGGCTCAGTTTGACCCGAACTTCAAAGGACCCATTCAGAAAAGGTGAATCTGTCTCAGTGGCTACCAGCACAAACTAAACCCAAACTAAACCCAAACTAAACCCAAACTAAACCCAAACTAAACCCAAATCAATCCCAAGTCTTCCAGCTGTGGGGTTTCTGGTGCACTTGTTTCTGTCTTCAGGTTTGCAAAGCTGTTGTGTTTGCTAGGTTACTGTTGACTGATGGAATCACATTTGATCCCCCTCAAGGCAAACCTCAATGCAAAGCTCAGGAAACTCACTTGCTGTCTCTGTTCCTCTTCATCAGGGGCTGCACTGACATCGTCTGCTGTATCCTGTTCATGGCCGTCATTCTCGGCTACATAGCGGTCGGGGTGTTAGGTAGGAGCGACCTTCTGTTCTATGTTACTCATGCTCAGTATTAAGGGAAACAAGGTTAGTTGTTTTCTTGCAGAGAGTTCAATGAGATGATCAATACCACTGCCATGTTTACTCTTTCAGTAGGAAGCATCTTCCAGCAGGTGGTTAACTTAGCTCCTGCTGCGTTGTCTGTGTGTGAAAGGCAAACTGCAGAGAAGTCCTGACCCAATTCTGGAGAGATCCTCCACAAGACATGTCTGAATACAGCTCAGTGGTTCCCCTCACTCCTCGCTGGTTTATCCCACAACACCACAGTGAAAGGCAGATAACCTCACCAGATAACTCAAGGACAAATCCTGCATGAACCAAACACATCAAGTTACAGCAGAAAATATACACTGTCACTATCTAACACCATCCAAGATGAAGGGTTTTCAGTGGATTGTACTACATTCCAGCTGCTTCCACTACTTTCCACTGCTGATTTACTAGTTTGCATTTTTTAGCATTAGGTTTTCTCCCCCTCTTTCTCAGATATTATTTGTTCCCTGTATTCCGAGCTAAAGATTTCACATGTTGAGTAGATTACAGGTTTCAAGTTTCTACATTTCTTGAATTGAATGAAGCCTTCATTGCTGTGTGTTGTATACAAACAGCTGTGAGCTCTTTATTGCTTTGTTATCAAACTCATTCCAACACTCGGAGCCCTGGCTCTTATCTTGGTTCAACAGAGGGCTAATAGGTGAAGGCAGTAATGTGTGTCAGCGGCCGAGTAATAAGCAGCTATTTCCTCATGTAGATCAAAATCACTGGCTGGCTGAGGTGGATTTGTTTTGTGGAGGAATCTACAGGTCATTACTGATACACGAGGGACTGGATTTATTCCTCATTAACAAATGTTATAAATAAATGTGACTGTTGCCCTCTTGTGGTCAGACAAAGATGTATTTTTTAATAATTTTACGCTGTGAATTGTCAGTGTTGCATCAAATTATGTGAACTGAAAAGTTATTAATTATATTTCCACTGCAGATATTTTTATCACATAAGACTATTTCACAAACTGACATGAAAATTATACTGTTTAGATTTATAGTTAATATGTTGATAAAAATATCGGAATAATATGAAATTAAAACTAAATACGAATCGACAAAAATACATTTGTAGTTCAGCTACAGTACAGTGAGAAGCTCCCAGAGTTTTATCCTTTACGTCATTGACTTTTTTTCTTGCCTTCTTATCGCTGTTTTCACGTGTTTGTTTTTGTGCTTATCAGCGTGGCTCTATGGTGATCCCAGGCACGTTCTTTATCCGAGAAACTCCACTGGGTGGTTCTGTGGCATCGGACCAAATAAGTAATTTAATCTTGCTCTTACCTTTTCATATGATTTTAGTTTTTTACATATATTAGATGGAATAAATATGCCTATGTCTGGATTATAAAATCAAACTAATTCTGTGTTCCCCCTTTAGAGACAAACCCAACGCCTTCTACTTTAACATCCTCAAATGTGCCACATCTGTCAATGTCATGGCAACTGCTCTTAATGGTTTCCAGTGTCCAACCACACAGGTAGAGGAGGCTGCTGGGTTTTAGAGTTTTAAATGGGATTGAACAATTTACTTTTCTCTCCCAGTGTGATAGAAATTAGCTTTTTTTTAATCATTGCTCATAGGTTTGTGTGGCAAAATGTCCGTCTACCTTCTGGGCTGTGGCGATACCATCGTATATTCCAGGTGTGTCACCAGCAAGTGTCTTCAATGAGAGCTTCTGTGTGCCATCTTTAGACCTGGCAACTACTGACCTGGTGAGTTCGATTGTGCTGCCATTTACAGTATGTGTTAAATTCCTTAAAGCACCACTGTGTAACGGTTCCTGGAGTAACAGCGCCCTCTGCTGCCTCATGTGTTGATTTAAGTGGTTTTCAAGCCTTTAAATCTGTTCAAAGTTGCTCTGACAGTTTAGTCTCACTCACTGAACTGAAACACAACTGAGCGGTGGATATTACCCATGATCCCAGGTTTCCTGAATCACAGGAGCTGCTGGTGTAACAAATTCACAGAATCCTGCTTAAAATTCAAAATTTTTACAAGTTTCCTTCTGAATATTGGAGATAAACGCTGGTTTTCAATGACTTCTCAGTCTTTTCAACTGATCTACTGACAGTTGCACAAACCTCACAGGAGATTGTACCCACTCACCAAAGTTACATCGATGTTTTTTTGTTCCAGAAATAAACAGTTATTATTTAACACGATCATTTTACATTTTTACAGAGTGTTAATGAAATCGTGGAGAAGGAGCTGTGTCCTTACTTCCACATGCCTACGACCTCTGGTGATTGCATCTGCTCAGACACACAAAAATGAAATAATTTAACTGCCGCTAAACATGAGATCTAACGATGATTCATAATGACTTTAAGCTGAGTTGGGATTTTTTTTATTGTTTTCTCTGCTGTTAGTTCTGGGACGGTGTATGCCTGATATCACAGAACTGGCCAATATCCCTGCGGACTTCTCAAATATTCCAGGTCTGCCCTCCTCGGTTAACTACACTGTCGACCTCATCATGAACGGCACTGGGTAAGATGCAGCGGACCCAGACCTCGTCTTCAATAAAAAAATAACGTTTGCAATTAACTAACTCACATCAATAACCCTGTTACTCTCTTCTCCTCATCACCAGCACACGGTCGGTAGCTTCATGAGTTTTTTGTGATTCCCTGTAGTGTAGCAGCTGGATGTAGTTGCTCCTGTTCCTGTGTGTAATTCAGTTATACACAGAGATGCAGTGTGAAGCATTTTCTTTGGACTTGCAGTGTTAGAATAGTTGTGGTGGTAGTACTAGTAGTAGTAGTAGTAGTAGTAGTAGTAGTAGTAGTCGTAGTAGTACATTAATGTGTAGTTTACTTCATCTCTTTCTGTGTCTGGGGTTATATTTATCTTTTTGGTCACCATGTGAGCTGTAGTAAAGAAAACTACATTTTGAAAACACAAAATTCCGATACACTCTCGTTTTCAACAGTTTTGTATTGAAGTGTTTTTCTTTGTATTTGAAAACACTTTCCTCACTGGGTTGGTTTCTGTCCCTTTGCTTTTCACCTGTACTGTTGTACTGAAGGGAAAACTGTCGCAGTCACAGCTCACTTGACTTTTGTGTCTCATCAGGGACATTGTGAATGGCTTCAATGCCAGAGACATCGGTGTCCGAATCTTTGAGGACTTTGCCTCCTCGTGGCCGTGGATCCTCCTGTGAGTTGCCTTTCAGAACTCGGCTCACACTGCCACCTACTGACAAACATACCAATAGAAATTAGAAACAGGTCATAGATTCCCATGCTCTTATTTTTAAAGTACATTAACCTTTCATTTGTAGCACATGACCTAGGCTTCTGTCATTTGTTTGTCCCGTTTTATTCTGAAACCATATTTTTTTGTCCTTGTCCATTCCCCTCTTGTCCACCTTCCTGTCTTCCTTCTCTTACTCTCTCCTCTCAGTGGTCTTGTCATAGCCATGGTGGTCAGTCTGCTGTTTCTGCTCCTGCTGAGATTCACTGCTCCGATCATGGTGTGGGTGCTCATCATAGGAGTCCTGGGAGCTGGAGCTTATGGTAAACTTCTCCACCAGAGAACATTTAAAAAATGTGTATATTTTTCAGCCAGCTGTGAAGGGGGTGCAGAGAGAGAGTGGGGGAGGAACCGAACCCTGGGCCGCTGCGGGTTGAGGCATTGCCTCATTAGGGCGGCGGCTCTACCCGCTGAGCGATACGCCGCCCCTCCACCAGAGAATACAGTTTTTTAACCTTGGGAATTCAGTTGAACTGCTGGAACACATGCAGTTGTATATTTATACGCAGGATAAATAAACTCTCTTTTTAGAAATGAGGTCACAAAGTAATGCAGTATTTCCTTGAACACTGTCCTTAAGCTGAGAAACATAATGCTGACGAAAGAAGAACTTTGTAGATGAATATAGACGGAGATTATATCAAGCTCGAAAATTCTGTTCCTATGTTTTAATTTGAGTTTTTTTTTAGGACAACAGATGTGGTGTTGTTTGAAGTAGCCTAAGTTGTTGGAGCCTTTGTCTTGTAGGTATATATCACTGCTACTGGGAGTATGACAACCACAAGAAAATGTCCGCCAGCATCAGTGACATCGGTTTCACCACCAACTTCAACGTTTATCTACAAGTCCAAGAAACCTGGCTGGCATTCTGTGAGTTCAAAATGCTTTCAATCCAATTTGACTCAAGCTTAGTGATGTTTATGTTGTGCATGGACTTCAGGCACCTCAGTGGGTGTTGGAAAGATGGATCAGTAAAAAAAAAATGCATTAGAACAAAGATGCTGTATCTTTGAGATTTCTTCCACATTAGGTTCCAGTAATTAGGCTGCATGTGAGTTTGGTGTGTGGTTAAACAGGACATCCTCTTCCTCCTTCTCCTCCTCCTCCTCCTCTTCCTCCTCCTCCTCAGTGATAATCGTATCTGTGCTGGAGGCGATCATCCTCTTGACGCTCATCTTCCTGCGAAACAGAATCCGCATAGCCATCGCTCTCATCCAGGAGTCCAGCAAGTGAGTTAAACTTTATCTTGAATATTTACTGAATCGTTAAAGGGAAGTGGTTTTGTTATTATATCAAGAAGAATCATTTTTACGCAGCCTTGCCACTCGTTGAAAACCACAAATGAAGTGTGAGTGTACCTTCAGATTGATTTGTGTGTGTGCATTCATATTTCACAGGGCAATCAGTCACATGATGTCTGCACTGCTGTACCCTCTGGTCACCTTTGTCCTCCTGATGGTGTGTGTTACTTACTGGGGCTCAACTGCTTTGTATCCTTCAATTGTATGTACTTTATAGGTATTTGTACATGGACTGTTGATAAAACACCATTCAATAACCTCAATAATCAAAAGTATCAGTTCTTCCCTTAAACTAATGTACGTAGATATTTGGCCACTTCAGGAAGTCCAATCTACAGAGTTGTGGCTCTCAACTCCTCGATGAGTGACTGTAAGAGTGTAAACGGCACAGAGGACTGTGACCCTCGGGTGAGGCGACAGAACATGAGGATCAAATGTGATACTCAAAACCTTTGTGTGTCCAGTCACTCGAGCTAAGAAGTCATGAGTCGTTCACTTTTCCATCTCCTGCTCTCAGAACTTCACCTCGTCAGATTACCCAGGCTGCCCCTCCGCCAGCTGCATCTTCATCAAATACAACAACGAGGGTCTCTTACAGAGGAACATCTTCAATCTGCAGATCTACAACGTGGTGGCCTTTCTCTGGTGTGTTAACTTTGTCATTGCCCTGGGGCAGTGCACGCTGGCCGGGGCCTTCGCCTCCTACTACTGGGCCTTCAACAAACCAGATGATATCCCCATGTTCCCCGTGTGCGGCGGCTTTATACGCTCACTCAGGTAGGTTGACGTGCTGCCGACACATCACTTACATCAACGTGACAATAAAAGTGTCAGTCTCATAAAATCAAGGCCATTTTCGTCTCTGTCTCGTCCAACTCTCCTGATGACATGATTATAGTGCGTCCCACAAAAGGTAAATACAGATTTTGCGTGTGGAGTGTGATGATGATTTTCTTCTCATTGCTACAAAGCTGCCAGTGACACTTTCAAAACCTGCAGCTATTTAAATGTTTCACCCCAAAAAAGAGACAATAACTCCAGTAGAGATTAATTTACAGGACGTGTTGGCTGCTGCAGTTCCCTCTCTATCTACTAGGGGGCACATTAGACCTGCAGTTTACTGTTTACACAACAGTTTGGGAACCAGACTCACTGACTGAAATCTGTGTGATTTTTTTAAAAATTCTTCTGTAAGTTAAGTTGTCATATAACTAGTGAGACTTTTCTTTATATGTCAGGTACCATGTTGGCTCTTTGGCATTCGGTGCATTGATCCTGACCCTGGTGCAGGTCGTGAGGATTCTTCTGGAATATATTGACCACAAAACAAAAGGTAAAGCCAATGAACCTCGTTTTAATAAAGACAGTGTTTGAAGTCAAACGGTATCAAATGAATAAAAGCATTGATGACAACATCCTTGTCCTCCAGGGGCGCAGAATCCAGTCGCACGTTTCATATTGTGCTGCATGAAGTGTTGCTTCTGGTGTCTGGAGAAGTGCATCAAGTTCCTCAACAGAAACGCTTACATCATGGTGAACACATTCATGTTATTCCTCTTTCTTTGTGCTGCAGCAGGAATGATGATGGTCCCACATTTATGAGTCCTCTAGAACTTAAGTCTGACTGTCTCTTCTGTAAAAAACAAACAAGTAACACAAATGTACACACTACTGTAAGTGTATATATTCATATATAATGTTATTTGTGTCATGTAGAGCGTTTCCTAACACCAGGTGGTTGGTTCTTTTCTCGACAGATCGCAATTTATGGGAAAAACTTCTGTGTTTCTGCCAAAAATGCTTTCATGCTGCTCTTAAGGAACATTATAAGGTTTGTGTTCACTGCAAGTTTTCCTCTCTCTGTGTAATGACCTGTCCATGACATGGATATATATACTCAGCTGTCAGTTTATTTAAAAGTAAAACTGTCTAATGCTAAATTATCCTCACTCATATATCATGGGAAACACTGTGTGTGTTTTCGAGACTCATTGAAGTGCTGTGTTCGTCTGATTATCATCTCAGGGTCGTGGTGCTCGATAAAGTGACGGACGTGCTGTTGCTCTTCGGGAAGCTCCTGGTGGTCGGAGGCGTGGGTAAGGATGACGACAGGATCTTAGAAAACTACAGAGAAGCTTGTTTTGCATGTTGAAGATTGTTTATAGACATTTAATAGTGATAAAGAAGATATTCTTTGAGTCATTGATAAACAGGTTGATAAGAATAAAATGCAGGAACGGGCCTGGTCACAATCCAAACTCTTTTTTCCAGGTGTACTGTCCTTCTTTTTCTTCTCCGGACGAATTCTGCTCCCGGGCAGCACCTTCCGCTCTGAAACCCTCAACTACTACTGGATGCCAATTATTGTGAGTCAGACTCAGATTCATCAGACAAACTGAAAGTTGCTTTGAATCACATTAGTTGTGTTTCACCCTGTCGTGTTTTCTTTCAGACCGTGGTGTTCGGCAGCTACTTCATCGCTCATGGATTCTTCAGTGTGTACAACATGTGTGTTGACACACTCTTCCTCTGCTTCTGTGAGTTTTATAAAAACCTGAATGTTCACATGAAATATTTCAGAGGAAAAAGTAAACATACGAATAACCTTAGTTAACAACATTTTAAAGGCTCATGTATGCTGCTGCTGATACGTTCATTTCGCAGTGTCACTGCCCACATCCTTCCACTAGAGGGCTGTGGACAGTGAATGAAATTTCTTCCTCGTGTCCTTTGTTCGTCTCCTGTCTTCTCCATGATTTCCAGTGCTACTGCTCTATTTCCTGTTTTTTCCGTAAACTTTCAGAAGATGTGCACAAACACAGACAAACTGAAGAGTGAGGCCAGAAGGCTCAGTCCATTCTGTATACACATCTAACGCATTAATGAGCCTTAACGTGTCAAGTTTATAGACTAAACACAAACATTTTTAATTTAATAATTCTACAAGAAACCAAATCTCTTGGGTCTGTCTCCTCATTCAACTTGTCCCCCTGTGACTGTCGTCCCTTACAGTGGAGGACCTGGAGCGTAACGACGGATCTCTACAGAAGCCGTACTTCATGTCCAAAAACCTCATGAAGATCCTCAACAAATCCAACAAGAAACCCAAAAGAGCTAAAGAAGGAGAGTGACGATGTTGTTTTTCTCGTCTTCACCTCATGAAACCACATCGTCACTGTGTCACAGATCAGTTCAGGATCTTTACATTTGTAACCTTAGTTTTAACGCTCCGGCTTTGTCGTTGTCTAATTTTGCACTTTCTAATCTCTCTGACCACCTGTCAATCATCATGGACACTGACATCCCCTTCCCAAGACACAAGTGCAATATATCCTTCAGAAATCTCAAGTCTATCTCTTGACCTTGTTTTAATCTTTTACTGAAAGTCTTTTACGCTGGATTCTTAACATGTGATATGTTCAGATGAATCTTTGTAGAAACATTGTTTCACGTTATATATTTTTACGTATTTGTAATTTTTTTTTAAAGTTGTATAAGCACATTTTTTTTTTCTTAACGTGTTCCGATTGTTAATATTAAAATATAATGTAATACATTTGTAAACATGACATCATTTGTAACCTTTGCACTTCATGTCAATGATATTTCACTCGGTTACCCCCGGGTCACCTGACGCTCAGGAAAACCAGTAAAAGGAGAATTCAGCCACTTCCACATAACGTCAATTACTCCTCTGTTTGTCTTGATGTGCATTAATTCACTGCTTTTAATATCAAAATGTAGATAACAAGAAAAGTGAACGTTTAAATCTCCTACATTTGGTTTTGCTGTCAGAACTCGCTCAGTGTGACTTCCTCCACTTTGTTTTTGTATCTTTAATTCCTGACCCTGGTGTGAATGCGATCGTGCCACAGACCTGATTCATAGAGTAACACTGTCGAAGAGGAACTAAACTGATTCTACATATCAATGTGTTTACGTGGTGCAGAGGGAAACTGCTGCATGTGTGATAAAAACCTGTCGAAACTTTTGAGGCTGTTCAGGGTTGCTGTGTGAAATCTGAAACGAGAGCTTCTCGATGTGAAATTCAAGAGAACAAATGAACTGAACCATTCTCACATTGACGGGGAGGGACAAACATTTTCGCTCTTGTCATTTACATTTATTTAACTTTATGAGAGAACAGGTTTTTAACTTTTTATTTTATTTTCCAATAAAACACAGGAGTTATGGAAACCAGGATCCGGATGATTTCTCGCTTTACAAAAGCATGTTGAGACCTACTCGCACATCTCGTCGCCCTCCATGGCTGGTCGTCCAGTCAAACACGTAAAAACAGCATTTACAATATTCATATATACAAATATATAATGTACACACGCTCACTCGGACACATACAGCCAGAAAAAAGAAGTGTGACAGAAGTGTTTTACATTTTAGAATCACACTGGGGCTCAGTTAACGGAACTGTTGCTCGTCAGCTGTGTGCCGACTTTTTCCTCCAACCTTTGAGACGGCTCTACCTACGAATGACTTCACAGTGCAATGGCAGTTTTTTTTTTTTGTTAAGACATAAGTATATAAAAATGCATCCATCCATCTGTGCTATTTCATGTCAGTGTGTTAAAGAGCAAGTCGCAAATGCTACAACTTGTTCACGTAATGATCCAATTATATTTTTCACCCTCTGACATCGTGTGTGTGACTGATGCGTGACTCTTTGGCCTTTTACGGAGTGAGAAACAGTTGCTATGGCAACTACGATGCAATCTCATACCCCTCCCCCGTGTTCCCGTTTTGACTGAAACTTTCCAAAACATGCCTCCCTCTCCGTGTTAAAGGAACAAACTGACTCTTTAGGGAGGGAAGCAAAAAAACTATGAATCACTGACTGGACTTCCCCCCCCCCCGTGTGAGTTTAACACACACACAAAGAAAAGGTTTCTGTAACTCACTCTGGTCACATAATACTGTCCCTTAGTGTCCAACTGTACTGTTCTGTGTGCATATATCTACGGGTGTGTGTGGAGAGAGAGAGAGGGCTAACATGACTGATTTTGGGTTTCGTGCAACACGAACTCATCGAGTGTTTCTTGCATAAACGATATAAGAAGCAGGTGGTCGGGGCCGAGGTTCCTTAAACAAATTCACCTTTTCCAGGTGGAGGAGAAAACCAAATTTCCTGTAGTTGTCATCTCATTTGGGGATCAAACACAAGTTCAACACCTGCTAGAAAATGTAACACGTGTGTGTGTGTGTGTGTGTGTGTATGTGTCTGTCTGTGGTTCAAGCTAAGTGTGTGTTTGTATTCCTTGCACTCCTCCCTCCCGTTGATCCACTCTTCTGTCTATCCATCCTTCCATCCATCCTGCCCTCCATCACACGCTCAGCAGCCAGAAGAAGAAGAAGATGGCCACGAACAGAAAAAGGGAGTCTTGCCAGTTGTTATTGCCGTTGTTGAGGTTACCGTTGCCTTGGTGATCACCTGTGTACTGATCTGATGGAAGAGAAGACAAAGGATGTATTTACTGCAGTGTGGGAATGTGCGTGATGGTGTGAAAAGGAAACAGATCTGTCTACTCTGCAACTTAGTTACAGAAAATACTACAAGGAAGAAACAGTAATGGTGAAAAGTTAGAGCCACAACCTGGTGCGTTTACCTGCTCTGTGAAAGGGGTCGTTGGTGTTGAAGACTGTGGTGAAGAAGCCAAAGGGGAAAGCACCAATGCCAAAAGACATGTGAAAGCCAGTGTCCCCGAACCCCTGGAACATCTGTGCAAAGAGAAAACCAAAGAGATTTTTTTTAAGTTACAAGATCATTTGTTTTCTGAAAAGTGAGAAATGCCTTGATTCACTTCTGGAGCATCATCAGTGAAGAGAAACCGACTCACCCCGCCTCTGCTCTCTGGCTCTGTTCTCTGTCCCTGAGGCCGAGGTGGAGTTTTCAACCTGAACGACGACAGAAACGGTTCATTTGCATAGAAACTGCAGAGCTAGCATGTAAACACACAGAGGACACACACACTCAGTGTACCTGGGGTCCTCCTGGCTGGAGCTCCCTCTGCCGTACAGTGGGATTACTTTCTCTCTGCTGATACCAGCTTTACATACAGGACACTGCTGCCTGTTGGGCCTCGTCTCCAACCACTGAGACAGGAGAAGAGTCAAAATGTTCAGAGGACAGATCAGATCAACTTCTTTCTATTGAGTTCCTTCAGGAAACCAAGCTTTACTGTCTAAATATCAGTGTAAACATCAAACATAGACGGACAGATCGACGACACATCTCTACCTCATCAAACAGAAATAAAGCCTGAATATTAATTCATGAATTAACTAATTAAAACAAACTTATCAGAACACTTGAATAAACAGTGTGATGAGATCTCTACCTAAAACGACAGAAGACATCTTTGAGTACTTTCACTTTTTAGTTTGGCCCATGTCCCATCCATTAACATGGATGAGGCAGGGTTTATGACCTATACTGCAGCGACCCACCAGGTGGCAATCGAGTCTCCACGGCTTCGTTCAGGGAAGCCGTCATGTCGTCCATCTTTATTTACGGTCTACTGTTTCCAGATTTAGCCAAGTGGTCATTTACTTCATGCACTTAAAAGATTTCTCTGGACGCAAAGTCATCAAATCAAAACTTTTAAAAAGATCTTTAACGATGACATTTGATCTGTAAGTGAACCGCCACAGTTCTTACGCTGCTTCACTGAGCGAAGTGCAGCTCCACTGGGCTCAGGGCTGAGGAGCAGAGGGAGCGGCAGTAAACTGGAATTAAGTGCATTAGCATGTTTAAGCTGTAGTAAGTCAGCTGACAGGTGTAGTTTCCAACGCTGCGCTTACATCACGTCCCTCTGATGACAGAACTTACTGACAGACCCTGACTCGCTCACACTCCTGTTGTGTCCACCGGTTCTATCTGCCGCTATTACTGACCTATGACCCCGAATGAGACAAGTTGTGATGCGTTCAGTGAAAGTAACAAAAGAATTTGGGTGTATTCACTTTTTAACTTGTGCATGTGAGGAAGTGAATAGTGAGGGATACTTACTTGATGAAGACAGGGCCAGCTGCAGGGAGACAGAGAGGAAAGATTAATTTACATTCTCACACACACACATATATATATATAGCTTCAGTCATATTCCTGTTCAGCCAGTTTATTAAACTAATTAAATGAATTTCACTGGATACGATAAAAATCTCTTGGTGTCAGATTTTCCTCATCATCACTCCAAAGTCCACCTGGTTAGGAAAACCTGTGGCTGATTAATCTGATTCCTGCTCCCCATCGTTTCTATTAATTGGCTCCATCTGTTGCCTGAGCGGCTACAGGCCCGGCCAAGCTGCTGCTGCATTGTGGGAGTTGGCAGGAAACACAGGAGACAGGACAACGACACAGTGAATATTCCTGCATCCTAAACTTATGGCTCTCGGAATCAAACACTGCACAGATTTTGTGCCGAAATGCAAATAAATCGGCTTCGGGTGAGTTTCCTTTTCACACATTATGTTGGGAGTGTTTTGTTTATAGATTTTAATTTAACAAAACTAACATACAAGTCTGAAAGTTCTCTCTCTATCACTGTGCATTCACGTGCTCCGTGGAAGGTGGAGTTGAGAGGTCCGACTCTCTTTTCTAGCATTTGCATTATCTTTTCACCAATTCTCCGAGATGTTGCTGGTAACTGATTTCTGATTATTCCGTCACCACATGAACGCACAATCATTCCTCCACCATGGCCCCGTAAGCACTTCTTGCATTTTATCTGTTTCACTTTGCCCAGAGACCTCAGTTATTTACACACTGCAGCGAGATGTAATGTCAGCCCTGAGATAAAGTTTGCATTTCTACATGGAACAATAAAATGGAGCGTGTTCATGAAAGTCTTTTTTGCCTGAGAAGATTAAATCCATAAAAGATTCCTAGGAACACGTGTAACTGCTGAAAACGACTATTTGAGATTTTCAATTTTCCTTTCAAGTGTCTTTGCCTCGTTCTTGACGTCTCCGTCTCTTCTTCAGCTGCAGAACAGGTGATGCAGAGGAACAGGCGGGACTCGTTTCTCAAACACTTTCATAAGACACCAAAAATAACCAGCTGAGCGAAACACACCGGAAAACAAAACCCGGCCTCGTGAGCAGTGTGAAGAACACACACAGACACACGCATTTCAGGATGTGCAGCGTGAGCGTGACAGCAGCGATCATAGAATGACATTCCTGTGGATTCAAAGAGCCGAACAAAGCGCAGGGCCTAAGTTAACGTAACACATTCAGCTCGGATTAAACATGTGTCCACACGTATAGCGCAGCTCCCGTGACCTGAGGACAACTGCTTAGTTTCCAATAATTGGCTCGAGCACCGTTTAAGCTAAGCCCGACTGTAGCGAGCCGTGCACACGCCTCCTTAAGTGTCATCACGGATTGAGATGTGTGACCCGACCCCACTAGTCTCACTCTCAGTTTTCATGAGCACACGTATCTGAAATGTCAACAGCAGAGCAGAGAAGTGTGTGTGTGTGTGTGTGTGTTTTGTTCTCAGCTGTTCAGGGGCATTGTTCATGTAGTTGTAAAGGTTCAAACTTCACCAGACGTATGTGAAGGTCAGAAATGTCTCAGGGACAAATTCTATATATTTGAATCAGTGAATATCGATAAAAATCTGTAAAAATGTCACATGAGGTTGATCAATTGTGTTTTATAGCTTATTTTTTATGTTGCAATGAAGAAAATGTAATGATCTATATTATTTGTGCTGCTCGCCCCTCGTCTACTCTGTAGCTCTTAATCAATGATTGTTGTTGGCTCAGGTGTCGTCATGTGACCCAAGTGTGAACGAACGGTCACGAGATAACGACGGCTCAGACATGTGGCAAAACTCATCACATCTGTGTCGTGTGGATTTGCTGATAAAGACAGCACGTGATTCCAACTTTGTACGATTGTTGATTTGTCTCGTAGGTTTGACGTAAGTTAACATTTCACTTTCTTGGCTTGGTTGTTAATGAACAACTCCATTTTGCTCTGTGTTCATTCTCTTGCTTCTAACTCCACACGCTCTCATTGAGTCCTGGTGAAGAATTGTCCCCTGCAGCCTGTGCGTCCGGCACACACAGGTCTGCTCTGGAGGATTGTGAAGACGTCACACACTCATTTATTTACGTACATTTGTCTAATTAAGCTGAGAATGAGAGGCAGCACTTTTATCTCTTGCCGACAGTTTCATCATCACGGTTTCATCACATTGCACAAACGTCTAGAGAGAGAGAGAGACGTGGGTAACACAGCAGCTACGTGACATCAGCCTGTAACAAGGGAGCTTCAATGTATGGTTGTGTAGCAACAGCACACGTGAGGGTAAGAGGTTTTCAACAGAAACAACTTCTCTGATCCACTCTTAACAAAATCATCAGGATTAAAACATAACTGGACAATACTAAGGTCCCTTCACTGTTCCTTGATACAATATGGAGTTTTACTGAGAAACAAAACATCGAATTGACTGCGTGCTGCCACTGAAACACTGAGAACATTTCAACTTAATTTCTGTGGTGAACACTTCAAGTCGAATTACTTGTCTTCCCCACTCCTCTCCCTCATTCCTTTCATGCTACTCTGCGAGATTTTCAACCTGAGATTCCTAAAGAACCGTCTCCTCGTCGATGAGACAGCAAGAACTGACAGTGCCTGTAAATCCCCCGCAGATCAACCATTGAGAGAAACATTTTGTGGATCAAATCTTGAAATATAACTTTAATATCAGGTGGACACTAGCAGATGATACCAGTTAGGCAACTCTTGATTCTAGTAAATCCCTGTTTTATTATTTTTGACAGGAACATACTACATGTCACTGTGTTTGACTGTGTTCATACGATCCTGAGAGATGGTTTGGAGAAAATAATCTAATCCAAACACGTCAGTGGTTTTATGACATTGTCCTGCGGGCCGACAGTTTGATGCTGCTGATAAAAACGGGAATTCTCTTGGCTTCTTCTGCGTTCCTTCCTACCTATGAACACTGTAGATAAAGATGGACGACATGACAGCTCCCAAAAAGTGAAGCCAAAGCGACTCAATCGTCCCCTGGTGGCTTCATCCCTGCATGGTGGGAGGGAGAGGAGAGGCGTCGGCCATCTTTATTTACAGTCTCGGGTCCACACCCACCAAGACCATTGTCATTTAAAACTCTTGTTGTGTGCCAACAGCTTCACACGCTTACATCTTCTCCTGTGTGAGTGTAACAAAGCCTGTTATGAATTTCACTTCTGATGTTTATAGGTTGGACTCCAGTCAGACACTCTCGGCCCTAATCTCACATAAACCTCGTCCTGTGAACGAGCCACTCCTGACTCATCAATGAGCCACACACACACACACACGCACACAACACAAGGTTGAGGCTTGCACAAGACCTCATCAACACCACGGTAAGAGAAAGACCTAGAATCACAAGTTAAGAGCAGCGAGCTGTTGCGTTCATTATGGACTTATCTGTTTACCTAATGAGCGGGGACACTTGACAGTTGAAAAATAAACATGCTGCCTGGGGGACAAACTGTACGACTCACACGTATGCACTTGTGCAATTTGGTGCAGATGCAAATAAAATCTGGATTTATCGACTTTTAAAGTGGTTCTGTAAGGGGTCTTGGTGGAAGTGTAACTCTGCGTTATTCAAGGCGACATACTGATAAACACATATCTGCATCACAAGTTCCTAGTTCCCTATTTGACATTTTTAGATTTCCTCCCATCTGAGAGACCATTTTGTGCTTTTCTTATAACCAATGAATTTATCAACTCATCATTTCAGCTCTTCTGCAAACCTGGAAATAACCTGTCTGAGCTGTAGCTGCTGCTGCGGATGACTGAAGAGGGAGCTGACGTGAACGCTGCAAATGATCAACACCCTGAAACAGGAAGATTAATGTGTGACAGAGTGTGTGTGTGTGTGTGTGGGTGTGTGTGTGTGTCTGCAGTCATGACCTCTGACCTACATCAGACAGTTTGCCACGATCAGACCTGGGTCATTAAATCCCTCACAACACCAGAGCAGATCTCATGTGAGGTTAAATGTGATCAGCCTCCATTCGGACAGAACGGCCCAAACACAGCTGTTAGCTGTTTGCATCCTTCTGTGTCATTTAACACACATGAGCCACACACAGTGCAACAACCGCCGCCAGATGAGACCAAGTGACGGCAAGAGGAGGCCGATCACACGGCTATAAACCACGCTCCGGTCCGGCGGAGCTGCACACGGACAACCACACATCAACCTGCCCTCCTCCTCCCCGGCTCGTACCAGAACAAGTGGCCGCACATACTGATGACCGCGTCCCGGGCAGCGTCCAAGCATATGTTGCACTCGAAGGTGGCCCGGTCCCGTTCTCCCTCCCCGCTGCCGCCGCCGCCGCCGCTGCTGCTACCACCTCCTCCACCTCCACCGCCGCCGTCGCCGTCGCGGCTCTCCCCGCCCGGGAATCCTCCTCTGCTGGCCGGCCCGCCGTCACTCGAGGACCGGGGATCCGCGGCCGCCATAATGCTGCGAGTGCAAGCAAACCACGGAAGGTAAAGCACCGACCTGACCCAACACACTCGGGCCCGAGCCGACGAGAAGCTGACGGTTGATCCGACGCAACGACAAGTGTCACCGGAGCGACCGGAGGCGCTGCTGCTGCAGATCTACCCCGAAACAAGACTTCCGCTTCCGGGAAAACAAGCGGCGAGGACCGGATACAAACACCCACGTTATAATACTACTACTACTACTATACTGCGAATACTACTACTGATACTAACCATAATAATATGAATCTTCATAATATGGCCTCTGACATTATTATTATTGTTCAGTCCAATCATAACAAATTAAAATATATAAATATATATATAAATATATGACTTAATATTACTATTACTTATAAATTAAGCCCATAATACAAAGTACAGATAAGTATTGATGGACTTTTATGAGTATCATCATCATTAATAATAATAATAATAATATTAAAACATTGTGAAGTCAAAGTAATTCATAAAATATTATAGATATATAACATATGTTTCTATAAACACATACGTATACATGTACACATACACACAAACACATTGATATATATATATATAATGAGTAAAAAGTAAATATTACTTTATTATTATTCTTACTAAGCTCATAATTGAACACCACTTTATACACAACATTAAATATTCTAAGAAATGAGATTATGTATGATTATATATAAAAACAAATGTGTATTTATTTTTAATGGAACCTGATCAGACACGAAAAAATAAAACAGAAATGACTGGACGGTCGGACTACTTCTTCAAACACCCGGAACCTTTGCCGTGTACTTTGTTTCCGGTCGGAGACATGAGAATGTAGGGACCGCGTACATGTTGTGTACACCAGAAACAGCCACGCTGAAAGTAGTCAGCGACTCCTCGAAACACCTGCATGGAAAACTTTGAGGCACAACATTTTAAAACATCGTGTATTTATATCCACTGAAGAGGAGGGAGAAGTTACCCGCGCTGTGACGTCACCTCCCCGCCACCATGAAGATCAAGAGACAGAAACAAGCCAAGAAAAACATCAGCTTCTACAAATACAACTTCAGCTTCAGGCAGCCGTTTCAGATCCTCCTCGACGGAACCTTCTGCCAGGCGGCTCTGAAGAACAAGATCCAGATTAAAGAGCAGATGCCCAAGTACCTGATGGGGGAGGTTCAGCTGTGCACCACCAAGTGAGTGGACTTCACTTCAGCAAGTTATTTTTCAGAAACTAGTCTTTGGATAGAAGTACAATGAAGCATAGGTTTGTAGTCAGTGGGTCACATGACATAGTTATCTCCCTTTTAAACATAAATGTACTCCACCATCCTCCTCCCATCCTGTGACTCACCCGTGTCTCTGTGTCTCAGCTGTGCACTGAAAGAACTGGAGACTCTGGGGAAAGAGCTGTACGGAGCCAAACTCATCCTGCAGAGGTTTCAGGTCAGGAACTGTGCTCATTTCAAGAGCCCAGTTCCTGCTTCGGAGTGTCTGCTGTCCATGCTGGGGGAGAGCAACCCACACCACTACTTTGTAGCCACGCAGGTGAACACCGTGCTAATACTATGAGCCCCTGCACACACTCGAACACCAGCCAGAGATCCAGAGGGGTTCAGATTCTGTGTTTATTTAAGGAATAGCAGCACTGTTTACAAAAGATGGAAAATAATTAATCTCAGTCTCACGACATAGAAATTTGCCGTTTTACAGCAGCAAAGGAGACAGTCAGTAAAAGTCATAATCACGTGAGGGTTCGATAAACACACCAGGAAATGTACAAAATAGGAAATTGTAATGTATGTAATATATATTTAATACATGTAATAGTATGTGCAGTTTTTTTGTTTACAGTTTGCAGAAAGTTATTTTTAATGTAGAAACACCTCTCAGTATATATCGGCCAATATTTATGTTAATTTCTTATTTTATTTATGCAGCTGCTCAAATAGAGCATGTCTAACATGTGTAAACGTGACATACTCTTACACAGGTCTGTTTTATTTTGTGTGTCGTCTCCAGGACCACTCACTGACCACAGGCCTGAAGAAGATCCCGGGCGTTCCTCTGTTCTACATCATCGCCAACACCATCGTGCTGGACAAACCCAGCCAGGGGTCTCTCGATCATGTCCAGGCCGTCCAGCTGGGGGAGCTGGTGAGCCCGGCCCAGCAGCAGAGCATCCGCAGCCTGAAAGAGGAGCAGGGCATCGGCCAGAAGGACGGAGAGAGGCGAGGGAGGAAGAGGAGGAGGAAACAGAGTCATCCTAACCCTCTGAGCTGCCTGAAGAAGAAGAAGAAAGGAGTGCCGACGCCGCCCCTGAAGAAGACGGAGGAGGGGGAGAAGAGGAAAAGAAATCGACACAAGAAGCAGAAGACGGAGGAAGGTGATAACGTGTCTGCTCCTGCAATAACAAATACATAATGTGGCAGGAAGACAGAGACTCAAACTACTTTGTTTCTTGCAAAAATAACATTTGAAGATGTCAAATATTTTCATGTTTAATATAAAACCCAAACTTGTGCTCTGTTCTTCTGATGTCACCACAGTGAACATGTTCATGTTTATTACCCACAATGCCATTTTAAAATCTCTGTATTTATTTTCTCTTGAAAAGTTCTGCGACAGATTCCAGGACTCAGACAGAAACACAACAATATTTTCAGTATTCAGAGGATTTGTCTCTGGCTTTTATAGAAAATATAAAAGCAGGTTTACAGGCACATAGTTTAAGATATAAGCTGCACTCAGACATTACATGACGTACAGTTTCCATGAAAGTGGATTTTAAAAACCATGCGGCTGTCTATTGCAGAAGCATGAGGAACAAGTGTGATCACAATGACTTGGTGGTCTGCTTGTTTTTACGCTGTGTGATTTGTTATTTCTGCTGGATTCAGTCTGGAGCGAGAGTCCAAACAATGACACACATTCTTAATACAGTATGTCCATTCAGACTTCACTTGGTCATGTTCACAGTGTCCAAGTTGATTACTTATTAGTTTTACTAATAAAAAAACTACTCATTCTCTATAGCTCTCATATATTACAACATTGAGTATGAGCATTGAATATATTATCTACTTCATGTCCAAGATTACTGTGTTAACACAACAGCTGAATTGTTTTCTTTATCAAGGTTATACAACATTAATATAGAGCTGCACTCTGGCTGTTTTCCTGAAACTTTCCAGAGGGGCTGTATGTGAAAAACGCAAGCCCAGAGTAAAATGTCTGAGGGAGCACATGTAAGAATAGAGCGGGAAAACATCTGGCGAGCAAGCGGGTGGGCGTGTTGTGACGTTTGAAACGAACAATGGATGTGAAAGTGAAGGAATAGAAAAGATGCTGACAAATTGCTATTGTTTTCAACATTACTGCTTTTCTGCAGTGAAATGTATACGTCATGTCTCCTCCACCCAGACGCCAGCCCTTGCCTGAATGTTCTGGAATTGTTCCTGTTGTTGTGAACACTCCTGACCTGGACAATCTCCTGCTGCGTTCTGGAAAATGTCAGGACATTGTCTGGACTTGTAACTCAATGATTACCCAGTTATAAAAGGGACATTGGATTAAACGAGTTTGTGTCGTTTTAAGAGTAAAAGAGCAAGACGGCAATAAAAAGTCATTTCTGCAGCAATTCCACTCTAATGAGATATTTCCACACAGAGCATGCACACGTGGCAGAACACTTACGATTACATACAGGTTAAAACTCTCAAGATAGTTTTTATAAGCCTTGCCCCAAATCTATACTAAATACTAATGATTTAGAGGAAACCAGCATTCTCAGCTATTTATTACAAACAAATGTGGCATCAGACATCAATCAAACTGTCTTTAGAAAATCAATGCCGTGTATTTCGATTGTCCAGTAGTCGTATTTAAGCTGTTCTCCAGCTCTTTCATCAGCAAATAGTTATTATTATTTTTACAAGAAGCTTTGTGAAATGTATCGTAGGAGAATAGTGTACAACAACAGCACCTTAAAAGTTCTACTGTTTGTCTTTGTCTACTTTGTTTTGTCTAGTTCAAACAAGCGTCACACTGTAAGTCCTGCTTGTGCAGATTTGGGACACAGCTCTAGCAAGCAGAGTTTGTTATGCTTTAAGTGCTACGCTACAGTTGTGTAATGTTTAATTGCTGGTTGAGTTTGCAAATCACTATTTTAGTAACTGTTTAACTGTACTCCTGCAGAACCCGGATATAGTGCATGCTTCTTTTTGACTGATGCCTGTGTACATGACAACACTGCAGATGAGATGTTCTTCATGCAGCAGTGGGACATTCGATTCAGTTATCAGAGCACAAACACACAGTCGTCTTCTACTGTAAACAAATCTTAAGATAGACGAGTAAAAGCAACTCCAAACATTGAAGTGCAGATTGGTAGAATCTTTCTGTAGTATTTCAGACAGAAAATTAAAATAAATACATCACCAGTACAAAAAAAACAAAACCACATCACTTCTAAAACAAAGTCAATAAACTCAAATAAATAAATTAAGCTTTTATGAAGTTAACACACAAACCAAAGGTTAAGGGAAGTTTTCTAGATGATGTGGAAGCGAGGTCCAGGCGTGGCGATGATGTCACTGTAAGGCTCCTCCTGGACCAGCTCCACCGCCTGCTGCTTCTTCAGAACCAGGAAGCTGTAGAACTTGGCTGCCGCCTGCTTCTTGTTGTTGTTGCAGCACAGGTCCAGCAGGCTGATCGACTGGGTGCCTGTTTTGTCCATCACCCGCTGAGTCACGGAGAGAGAGAGAGAGTCAGGGGAGGGAAAAAATTCTATTGAGAAAATACATTGTTTATTATAGTATTTCTGTCTTGAAACAAACTGATGTGCTTTTTCCTAAATAAAACAATGAAATTAACAAAATTGTGGTGGTAAGAACAATCTCAGAAACAAGCATGCTGCCAACAGTTCTGCTTCTTCTAATAAGAGGTGAACACAGACAAACCTGGAGGCCATGGAGCATCTGCTGGGTCCTTTTGTTCCACCTCCTCTCCTCCTGGTCTTGGTCTCCCTGCGCCTCCTCCTCCTGACACAAGGTTAAAAAACACTTTTAAATAATCAGGAAACCTACTGTTGAGTCCTGGATGAAATGATTGTCCGTGCTTAGTTAATGAATGAAAATACTTTATGAAGAAAACAGAAGAGTGAAACTCTGGATCTATCTGACCTCTTCATCAGAGTCGTCATCGTTCTTCTTCTTGTCAACGAGCAGGTCCAACTCTATCAGCTGACTGATGTTTGTGGTGATGGTCTCCTCTGGAGGCAAATCCACATTGGAGGATGTCTCCAACTGCTGCTGCTGCTGCTGCTGCTGCTCATCCAAAGCTCCCATCTGGAGACAAGAGCGTAAGAGGGATCAGAGATGGTGGAGGGTGTGTGGAGGAGTTGTTTGAAAGGGCAAAGAGAGAGTAGAGAAACAGATACGACTAACTGGAGCCCTGAAATTAACTATGGGGTGAAAACCTTTGTGGACAGACACTTCTACTGAGGGAACATCTGTACTCACAGGCAGGTCTGGCTCTGTGTCCTGGGATTTGCGTTTCATGCCTCGTTGGGAAGATGGTGGCGGCATCACTGACTCGTCCAGCGTTGTCCTGCTGCCCTCCACAGCTGCAGGCTGAAGCACGCTGGCCTCCTCCATGATGGTCTGGTCTGGAAGACAAACAGCATACGAGTAAAACTGACACTGACAAAATATGTTTTAAATAAGTAAATCAATGCAATGAATTCTGATCCAAAACAAAGAACAGAAAACACAATGTCACACAGGAAAACGTAATGATCAAAGTCTCTACTCTGAGTTTCTCACCCATGATGTCTCTCTGCTGGGGACCTGTTGTTTCCTCTCTGGGGACCTCTGGATTCTCCAGATCTTTGAGGAACTCGTCCAGACTGTCGGCCTCGCCGCCTTTCCTCCTCTTCCTCAGCTCATCAGGTACCAGCGGCGTCAGGCACCTTGTGAACATCTGGACAGAGAAAAGGAGGTGCAGGAGGGTTATTTAATTTAAGGTCCTCTGAGTGCCATCCCTGAATAACTGTACATCTCTTGTTACCTTGAGCAGCCTCATGTTCCAGAGAGACTGAGCTGGCAGGGAGAAGAGCTTCTCGACCCCCCCGGTCTCCTTCCACATCATCAGCTTCTTGGTGGGAGGCGCCAGGTCCAGCGTGGTGACGATGTCTGAGTAGTCAGAGAGCTGCGCACGGATGGTTTTACTGTCCAACTCCTTCACGCTGTCCACAATCAACTTCCTCTTTCGCTTTGCCTTGGTCTCCTTCACTGTTTATCAAGAAAATGTTCTCAAACTTAACTGAAGCTCTTACTTTCTTAAATTCTGTATCTGCTGATGATTTTGAAATTTAGACTGAAGCTTCAGCGAAACATTGGAAAGTAAAGCGACCAAAGAACCAGAGTCATTACCTGTGATGTCAATCGGCTCCAGGGCGAAGGTTTCTTCCTCGTTGTGAACCAGCGCCGTCTGTTCCGTCTGGTCTGCCATGACTGGTAGAGGCTCTGTTGGGCCTGAGTCTGGACTGTCTGGAGCTCCCGCTAACAAAACCCAATCACAGGCACTTACCACAATGGATATTTATATCACAACATACGGCCTAATTTATTCAGGGCCAGGTGCTGAGATGATTTGTTGAACAGACCTGAGAGTGCGTCAAAGTCATCGTCGTCATCTCCGTGGTCCTGAGGCATCATCACGCTCGCTGTGATGGCGGGAGGGTCGTCAAAGATGCCACCCCCGTCCTCGTTGCTCAGAAGCTTGTCCACTACACAGAAACGATTAGTCATTCAAAGGTTTGAGACACTAGTCTGATGAGACACTGTTTCATATACAGATGTAAAATTATAATTAGTGCCAGTGCAGTTTCAGTCTACGTACATTTTTTTCCGGACTCATATGAGGCCACTGTGACCTTTGACCACTAGATTGTAACCCGATCAATCGTGAGTCCAAGTCAACACGAAATGTGACGAAATTCCCTCAAGGAATTCGGACAACCTGAAAGTGTAATGCCTCTGGCCACTGGCATAAAGATGAAAATCTGTGTTGTTTTATACTTTAGGTCAAAGAAAAATAAGTCACATGGCTTCAAATTGTACTGTATCTTAACTGTATTGCATCTATTACCCCGGTTGAGTGTAGACTCTCACCCAGCATGCCTCCCTCACTGCTCTCCATGGGGTTGTCCCCGAAGTCGTCCTTGTAGTGGTCGTCGTACTCCAGGTGGTTGGACTTGTCCACCATCGGATTAGCCACGCCCTCAGCCTCCAGCAGCAGGTTGGAAGCTGACGTCGCCATGATGTCCACCTCGAACGCACTCTCCTCCCGCATCATCTCGCGGTCGTCCATCCCGAAGTCAGCTGCACAAGACAAATGTCTGTCCTTAGTGTTTGAAATGTAGAAAGTGTGAAGTATGAAGCAGTAGCATTACATGGAGGCTCCTGATGTTTGAGACGTTACTCAGTAAAAGAATTCATGCTCAGAAGAAAGCAGCTCACCAAAGTCATTGTCCTGCAGCAGGTTGAGGTTGCCCACCTCCTCTCTCATGGTGATCTCCTCCACTCTGCTCTGGTTCAAGTTGAACTGCTGAGCCACGTCAATGTCACTGAGGACAACAACACAACACAGTCAATGCAAATGAAACAAAAACAATGTTTATTCTGTAAAATTTAAAGGTTCATATTTTATCGGCAAACATAAACGCTGATACTGACGTGTCTGTGAAAGCCTCACACATTATCTGTCGGGCTCTGACATTGAAGCTGAGTTGTTTTTCTACCTCGTGTTCTGAGGGAGACTGACAGAGGACTCACTCGAGGTCGGGCAGTGGCTGGTCGAAGTCGTGGAACTCCTCAGGGAGAGTGATGGCGTTGTAGGCTGCTTCTCTGTTCTCCTCTGGAAGATCCACCACACCTGAACCAACACGGGCGAGGAAAAGAGTCTCAGCATGTGACGTATGAAAACGTAGAATCAGTTGCAGCTCATGGTTTTAAAGCCTCAGTTCCAAACTAAAAGTGACATTTGTTTTCCTCTGACCTGGTCTAAACGCCATCTTGATCTTGATGAAGGCCTCATTACAGTCTGCCAGCAGGTACTTGGCCTTCCTGTGGTAGATCCTAACCACCCCCAGCAGCAGGTGCCCCGATGTCCGTAAAGCCATTTTCACCTGTGAAAGAATCAACACAAATTTGATCTACAAAAAATACTGTAAAACAAATCTGCAGTGCTTCACATAAACTGGGTGGAAGATACTTTTCCTTTCAAATCAAGTTTCATATGATTTTACAACCAATGCTGTGCTTTTGTGAGACTTTAACCAACAAGTTGAACACAATTATCAATACTTAAAAAAATGTGTGATTACTTACTTCGGTTGATGAATTACAGTTGTCTTTGCATGTAAACATTGAGGATAAATAGATCAGCTAATACCAAAGAGGGGGTCAGATGTTCAGGGCCAAGTCTAAATTCAATTTGGAGCTTTGAGTCTAAAATACTAATTCCAAAAATGCACTTTTACACAAATACACACCTTAACTTTATAGGATGAATATGCGTTCATACAGGATTCACACACAAAGAAAAAACCTCATCACATAATCTGCTTTGAACGTGATGTGAAGGTGGCGACCGTGAGGAGCTACCTTGGGTGAGATGATGCTCTCCACGCTGCTCTCCAGATTGCACTCGAACACGTGGGCTTTGGTCAGCTTCTTGTCCCAGTGGGCCGCCAGCCAGATCTTGGCCAGCGGCCCACGTTTGCTGAGGACGAAGTGGGCGTAGAACATTGTCTCAGCGTCTTCTCACCACGAGGGGGAAAGGGGAAGGGGGAGGCTGTCAGGCCTGGAGAGAGGAAACAACACGCCAATACCCATATTAGAAGGTAAGACATTTCTGATAATGATATATCAGCCATTTATATGATTAGACAGATATCAAACCACATACCATAAAAGATCTTAACACACAAACGTCATTATCATTGGTTCGTGTTGTGTTGACCATGTCTTATATTTCTATGCAGGAAAAGTTATTTCAGGATATCTAATTATCTTTATTGTTTTATCTCCTTTGTCGTGTATTTTATGTGTCCATGTGTTTGGATTCAGTCTCTGATCAATAGGACAATTAAAGACACCTTCAGCCCCGGACCTCAGCTGGTCTTAGGAGCGCCCCTGGCTGAGAGGCTGGAGGACGTGGTTCACATGTGATGAACCAACATGCCTGTTACATACATGTGGAGGTGAACACACAACGGGACCTTCAGGTAGGAAACGCTGACACTGGACATGTTACACGTCATCACATGAAGAATCAGCAGCGGAGGAGTTTATCTCCGAGGAATGTTCGCGTCATTAAGCGGAAATGACCGTGACAGGATTCAAAGCGCATTAACAGCGGCTCACGCGTCTTCATCGAATATAAACAATGATCCTGAACGTGTGATTATCACGTGAATGCAAATGCAAAGACGAATCCCTGTTTGACTCCCACACCGTCACATTAAATATAAATGACTCACCGGTTCAGCCGTTTTGTGTTTTGGTCGGTTTTTCTCCTCCTCCTCCTCCTCCTCCTCCCCCTCGTCCCTCTCCTCCTCCTCCTCCTCCTCCTCCTTCTCCTCTGACTCCAATAAACAAGATGGCGCCTTGTCTCCCTGCTGCTGCACAGAGAGGACACCTCAGCAGGATGAGTGGTGCTGATGATGGAGAGTGATGGAGACTGAGGGAGAGTGATGGAGAGTGATGGAGACTGAGGGAGTCAGGGAGGAGAGAAGGTTTGTTAACTGTGTCTCCTCCACCTGAGTACTGGGGAAGTACATTATCGCATACTACCAGTAGAAGAACTGCATTCATTAGTCGAGTAAAAGTGAAATGTACCTAATGTTACAAAAGTGCAGCAGAGTGTTCGAGAGTCAGGTGTTCCAGAATAAGGACATAAGTTTTTTCCATTTTGATTTCCGAGTAAAAGGTCGAAATATTGAGAGAAAAGTCGAAATGTCTAGAAGAACGCTGAAAAAAAGTTGAGAACAAGGTTAAAATGCCAAATAAAAGTCGAAATACTGAGGAAAATGTTGAAATATCGAGAAAAGGTCAAAATATCAAGACGGCGAAATTTCGAGAATAAAGTCGAGATATTGATGAAAATGGTTAACATGGCAAATAAAAGTTGAAATGTTGAGAAAGAGGTAAAAATGGCGAAAGAAAATAGAAATGCTGAGGACTTAGTTGTAATATTGAGAAAAAAAAGCTGAGGTTTCAAGAATAGAGTCGAAATATTGATAAAGAAAATCTAAAGGTTTAAAACAAAGTTAAAAATAAATTAGAACATATTGTCCTTTTATTTTGCACATCGAGAATAAATTTAAATTATTGAGGAAAAAGTCAAAATTAAATAAAAATGTAATTTCGAGAACAAAGTTAAATTGTGGAGAAAAAGTCAAATATGTTGCCTATGAAACATAAACTTCAGAATAACTAGTAGTACAAAATAGTAAGTAGTGTGCTTTGTCCGAACTACACAGGCCACATCGGGCCAGGAGCAATACGTGAAAACAGTAGTTTGCACATGTGACCAGTTCGAGCTCAGCTGACGGAGGCCTGGGTGTTGCAGACCCTCAGGCTGTGGGAGAGCAGCTGCTTTAAGAAAAGCTGAGAAATAACAACTTAAAGCTGATTCTAAATGTCTTTGTCTAATTTCTGTTTCCTATCTTCTTCCCTGAATCTTCCACTAAAGCAGATAATGTGCAGAAACAGTGAAAAATAAACAAGGAGCCTAAAGAATATAAAACATCGTGGGGCTGGAAACATAAAACTTAAGAGAGCAGAGAAGTTTTCTTTTTACAGACACAGTTTCTTTTATTGATGCTCAACCTGCTCTCGCTTTTGTTGGATACAAATAAATTGGTTCAATTGATGCCGGCCTCTTTAAAGGAGTAAAAAAGCAACGAAACCGGTTTATAAAACTGTTATTTGTCAGTTTTAGTTTCCTCCTTTTGAACCAGAGTATGTTGTGAATTTTTTCAAAAGTAAGTAAAAGCAAGTAAATACACAAAACACACAAAAAACCTGCCAGTACTGTTTGTGATGCTCTGTACGAAGTTGAAACAACCACCAGGAGGCAGCAGAGTTGTCAGAAGGGTAACACATGATCCTGTGTAAGTGGAAGCTTTTTAGTGCGGAGAGAAATCACCTGACTGCGGTTGACTTAACTTTAAGACAATAAATATTTTATCACCATACTTTAAAAACTCTGAGTTACTGCTCTGCATTATTTTCCATCCATGTAGTAACAATAATCTAATCTAAACAATAAACAGTGGGGCTGAACCCTCCCAGTCCATTAACACACTTTATTTTTTAATTTAACGTTCTTCATTTTCATTGTGCCTCTTCAAATGGAAACAAAGACATCCTGTTGGGCTCCAGGCGACTCGAAGAAAGTATTAAAAAATATTTGTCTGAACTCTGTGTGCAGGAGGACCCTTCAGCTGTTTTACATCTTCCACATGAACGGAAAGCTGGAGGGGAGATGATAATAAAACAAATACAACCATAGTTTACTCTGAGTGGATAATCAGGGGGGTGTCTGAGGCTGTGTCTAGTTTCTTTACGTTTAATTTAGTGATCTGTCATGTGACCAGTAAATCACTATAGATGTCAAAACATGACCGTCAGCCTTTTCTTCAGAAATGTCATTTTCAAAATACCATTAAAAATCAATCTGCCTAGTTGATACAAGAACTGAAAGAGGATTATCACGGGCACAATTAGCATGTGTACATTTTAACTACAGCCAACAGTGGTCACAGACCTTTGACCTTTGGCCACCAAAATCCAATCAGTTCATTGTTCCGTCCACGTTCTGAGATCTGAGTTCACGACAGTTGGATGTTATCACGCGTCGCTCCACTTCCTTGACCTTCAGGTCTCACGGCTCAGTCCCTCCAACCTCTCCTCACGCTCCACAGACCTCTGCACAAATGGAGTCGTAGCTCACATCCTACGAGTTCTGACAACTGAGGCTGTCCAACACGATCGTCCACCCGTCTCTTTACACACTACTGCAGGACAGACAGACATTTATTTAAGGGTCAGAGTGTGGAACAGGGAGTTTTTTTGATTTGGTGTTGGACATCACGAAGTCTCTCTCACACACTGCGTCTCCTTGTTTCCTGCGACGCAGCGCTGAAAAGGAGCCAAGAATATTCCCTAAAAGTAAAGAATTATCTTGGGAACAAGCTGCGTAGCTGAAAGCGTGATGTCCCCTCCCAGTGTGTCCTCTCGCTTCTCAGAGCCAGACCCATAAGTCAGGTGGTAAAATAATACCCTACACCCCTGTTGCATCTCAGCACAGAAGTCAGAGGGAGGAGAATAAAACCTGCTCATCTCTGCCAAAAACTATCCCACAAACCCCAAAGGGAGTGGATTTATCCTGGGCACAAAGCCCCTGGTTGTATTTCACTGTGGGATGGCCTTTGTGCGTCTGAATCCGCTCACACTGCTGCTGTGTCTCCCTCCCTGTCCAACCTGTCCGTCCCCTAAGCTGACAAGCAGGTCTTACTTAGGGACGAGCTCTTAGAAAAGTCCACTAGGGGCTGTGATGGATTTTGTGTGTGCTGTACATGCAGGCACACACACACACACACACACACACACACACACACAGGTTTTACACATGGGCACTTTGTCCAAAATGAGAGCTCGCTCACAACACGTTTCTCACACTGGAATTGTATGGGGGCGGGCCTGGCTGAGAAAAAGAAAGAGAGAAAGGGGGAGAAGAAGGAGGGAGGGTGTGGAGGCGCTGGTTGGAGGGGTCTTTTCAGTGCCTTTTTTTTGGAGGCAACAATAGTCTTTGTCCGAGATCTTCCACCATTCTTATTAGTGTTACGGGAAGGAGGAGGAGGAGGAGGAGGAGGAGGGGGGGTGCATGCAGGCGGAGGACGGTTTCTCCATAGTTACAATGACAAAACAAGTCAGTTCAACTCCAGGCAGGCGCAGGGATGATTGCAGCTGCTGAGCCGCAGCACAGAAACTTGTGCTGCCGAGTCCTGTTCACGCAGGGGAAGGAGGAGGACCGGCACTGAGCAGATTTTTAAGTTGGAGAGGTGGTGAGGGGAGAGAAGAAGAACCCTGTGAAAAGGTGGATGTGTTTCTTGGGTGCTGGGGAAGCAACACGTGACAGCTTGCACATTCGTACCCTCTCAGCATGGACCGGGACAGTCACAGCGAGGACACCCTGTCCACCATGGTTCTGGAGAACATTAAAAACAAACTGATTCATGCCTTCAGAGCAACAGGGGGGTCCAGAGAAGAACCTCAGGACTCTGGATCCACTGTCAGACCGCTCAGCATCGGCCGCAGCCTCCAGGCCAACGAAGAGCTCAGGAGGGCGCAGATTGATGGAGCCATAACCTGGCTGAGGTCTGAACTGGTAAGCTGTGATTGTCGACTCACTGAGTTGATATTTGGTGCTTTTACTCTGTAGTTTGCAACAGTTATCATCAGTTTAATCTCCAGAAACCCCCTCTATTGATGCCTGTGAGTTTTTTTTAGCCGATTCAGTTCTTTCATTGTTGTCATGCAGCTGGAAATGCGCTCTCAGGACCTCCAGCTGGCTCAGACACTGCTCGGGCTCAACACGGAGATCCAAAGACTGAGGAGGGAGAGTTTCGGAGGTGTGGAAGTAGAGGGGGAGGATCAGCAGTAGCCAGCCTCGGGCAGAGAGCCCCTTCTCTGGGGTAGAAAAGTGCTCTTACTGCAAACCATGATGCAGCTGATATTTCAAAAATTCAAATGTAAAATATATAAAAATGAACATGTTTGAGATTATGGCTAAGAAAATGTGTCATGGTGTAAAATAGAGATTTGCATCCAAAATAACCTGGATAACGGAATAAGATGTTTGATTTAGATTGTTATAAAGATAGCACAGTCAGAAAACCAGAAGTTTTTGAATGTAAAGATGGAATCAAGAAAAGTTTTATGTTGGCATGTTTTTGTAATTTTGCAAAAAAATAAAACGTCAACGTCACTAGTTTTCATGTCTTTATTGTGCTGGCATACTGTGCTGCTGCAGTACAGTACCTGTGTGAAACACTGCTACATGTTCGAGAACGGTTAATAAACACATCTACGTCTCATTTCCATACAATTCTAGTTTATACACTTTACATCAATACAACCACAGTTAACATTTTAATGGATTTACAGCCTCACTGTACAAACTCGACTCTAATAATCCTTTGTCAGAGACATATTTAACACTGCAGGGTCTCAATAACAATGTCCCACTGTCCCCAGAGGGTTTTATCACCGCATGTGCATAATGAAGATGCAATGAACTGCACACTGTCCTGCTGCGGCGCTGAATTCATTCTGCACATCGTTACAGTCATGAAAGGTCAGCGAGCATCCAGCACATGTGACCACACACACACACACACACACACACTCTGTGGTGGATTTCTGTCGCATATTCAGAATTCAAAGTTTCTCGGACACACAATGCTACACAAAGACAGCAATGTCCGCCTTCAGGTCAGTGTTTAAATCAGAATTTGTGCTTCACTGTCACGCAGCTTATATGCTAATTTAAAGGAATGGGACCATGACTCAAAAAGATGGATGACATGACAGCTCCTCAAAAGTGAAGCCAAAGCACCTAATCTGTCGTTAACTCCACTCATCCTCTTGTTTGGTGCTTCTTTGACAAAATAAAGTACAAAAATTAAGGTGGGAAATAGCAGATTTATTTATCTGGCTCCACCGTGTCTTAGAGGATGAAAAGAAGTTGAGGAGAGACACTCAAAGGTTTTTACTTTTAACAGTTTGAATTTTCAGGGCACAGAGCTTCTCCTGCTGAACGCTCTCTTTGATAAAACCCTGTAGTAAAGGGGTGGTGGTATCTTCAGGACGGAGGTGGAAGAGCCCACCTCCCCTGAGCTGGAGTAGATGCTGCCACTTCCTTGTTCGCTCTCAGAGTCCCAGTAGCTGCCCTCCTCTTCCTCCTCGTCTGTTTCCTCCTCCTCCTCAGACAACTCCTGCTTGAGCTCCTGGATGCCGGAGTGAAGCTCCATCAGCTGCCGGATCAGAGCTTGGTCCTGGGAACGCATTTCCATCTGCACACAGAGAACAAATCAGTCTAGATGTTCATTTTAGATGGATGGAGAATCACAAACTTAAACCTGAGTTTCTTTCCTTTTCAACGTGACCAGGTTCAGGCTCAGTGTGAAACCGCAGCTATTTGGACTTGAGCGTCTTTCAAATGCAAATCTCTGCTCTTTCTTCCCTCTCTTATGGACGGCTGTCTAATTACTGGCATTGTAAAATAAGATATTCAGAATACCACCAACTTCAGAGTCCGAGTTTATCCTGAGGAATGTCCCAGACGAAAAGAAAGAAAAGAAACCCATCTGGTCAAATCTGCATTTCTTTTCTCTCGTAATTACAGCACCCAGCTGAGACTGGGCTCCGACTGAAAGACACTGGTTTTTCTCCGGAGAGAATTGAGAGGAGCAACACGAGCGTTTCCTTTGAGGGAGTTGAAGATCTCCTCTCGCCAAACACCAGATTTAGTGTCTGCATCTGTAGGAGATGTTTTCTTCACCGTTCCACTGCAGACTTGTGTCTTAATCAAGAGGCGTTTTGTGGATAACGAAAAACACCAGCCAGTTCTACTCGCTATTCATCACAGAGATAGAGTTGTGAATGCGATTTCATAACGGGAACGATGTTATTGTACCACAGTCAGGCTTTTAAAAGGACACTACCACTTGTTGAAGTTTAGTTTACTCTCCACTGAGTATATGAAAGCTGCTGTTTGGTGTCTTCTGTGGTTGCGAAGCACGTTTCTAAAGTAATCATATATTTGTCAGCTCGGTGGACAGAGATAAAAAAGGTTGAGAGGGCGTAAAGAGCTTTAAAAATCTTGTGCACTACAACTTAAAACAATATTTTAACGATAAGCTCTGAGTTGAAACAAAGTGAATTCTACTTGTTTCCCCGATTTCAGAAACTTTGCTCCACTGTTGCTGCTCTGAGGGTCGTTACAGAACCAGCGCCTCTGTTTTCATTGTCAGACGTGTGGTTTCTCTGTGTCTGCGTGCTCACGACCCTCGGTTACCATGACGAGCTGTCTGCCTGAATGCACTTAATGGCGAGTGATATATTAGGCCTTGACAATGAGCCTCACACAGTTGGTCACAAAGGTGCAAACAGACACAGACACACACACCATGGGACACAAAAACACACACACAGAGCCTCTCTGAGTGGAGAGCATTTGGTTTGAAAGGGGTTGACATTGTAACAACATGACCTACATGCATTGTAGGAACAAAAAGGCAATAACTTGGGATCCCCACATAAAAAACATTCACAGGGACCCAGGAGGTCATTTTGTTCCTGTGACAAATGTCTTTTGACCTTTGACATAACGGACGATAAAATGCTTTTGTTCTGACGTGAATCTTACAGTTGTCAGAGGACCACACAGAGGCCTCTGTGGAGCTAGAATAATAGTATTCCACAAAATAGCGCTGCATAGAAAATCTTCAAAATAGATTTGATTCTTCAAGTATTACCAGCAAAATGTACTTAACATGAGTACTTTTACAAAAACAGAACAGGAACTCATGCAAGTATCATTTTAATGTTTTTTATTGATGCTTCCACGTCCTCTACAGAACTTACAGGACTTCTGGGGTTTGCAACTTAACATCATTATTAAAAAATGATGACCTGATTAACTTTACACATCTTCACTGTAAGTGGTCTTATAATGTTAATGTTATAATTCAGTTTATTCCAATGGTTTTTCAAAAGTAACTGCAGGTGTGAAAAGTACAACAGTTACCTCTGTACTGCAGTGAAAAGTACTGCAGTAATGCATGAGTACACTAAGTGATTTATTCTATTTAGCCCCAGTCTTACCAGTTCTCTCCTCAGCCAGGCCAGTGCGCTCTCGATGTCCAGTCTGCTGCCTTCGCCTCCAACTGTGTCTCTGAGGTGCTCCGTCCTCGTCCGAGTTTCCCTGCATGCACTCCGTCCGGCTCCCTCACAGCCGTTGAAGGTGGAGGTCTTGCAGGAGAAGTCCCGCAGTCTGGTTAGGACCACTTCCATCATGTTAGGTTAGCTTTTCCTTTCTTTAGACAGCTGTGCTGTGCTGCGTCTTCTCAGCTGTAGTTGCACGTACAGCCTCGTCTGTTATGAGATCCCTTGCACCTCTGAGGACTTATGAGGAACTCACTCTCTCTTTCTCTTCTTTACGCCCTCCCACTGCTCTCTCTCTCCTTTTTTGGGGGTGTCTGTCACTCAACCATCACCCCGTCGGCTCCGTGGCAAAGTGAAATGGTGTCACTTAAGTCTAATTGTGACGGAGCAGGTCTGACGTCAGTGCATTGTCCCGACGCCTGACCTGGAGCTGTTTACCACTTTTGGGGCCTTTCATCAGACACACACACACACACACACACACACACACACACACATACAAACACACAGTGATTATCAGGATGGTGAGGAGGGGAGGAGGCAGGCGGTTTCCATGGTGACAACAGTTGTGCATCTTAGTTTCAATGGTTCTGATCTTTTGTTAGATCTGCTGAAAGAGGATGCAGTGAGGACAGAGCATGTACATGAAATACACAAACATGTGCACACACACAGCGCTGCAGCGCTCTCATGGAGCCGGTGAGTGTTTCAGGGTCAGGGTCTTGGGAACAGTGTGAACAGCCATGTGTAACTAACCCTTCTCGTGCCATTTTCCCCTCGCTCCGCAACCCCTAGCAACCACCCCACTCCATCTTTTCACACCACACACACACACAACACTTTGGCAAACCAAACACAGGCCCACTCTTTGGAGTCCATAGACACTACTCACCGAAATAGACCTGACACACTGACGGCTATTTTTAGAGTCAAACTCACTCCGGTTTTAGGCCTTTTCAAGAAAACAAACGTCACGGCTCTCAAAGGGAATAAAAACAGCAGTGTTCAAGTGTCAGTGTGTGAGTGTCTCATGAACCTAACGCTGATGTCACAGAGACAGAAGGACACTGGTGACATCACTTTGTGAGCGGATATGAATGATTGACAACTTTTTTTAATCAATGTTTACTTATATTTCCATACTAGTGGTGCAAAGTAGCTAAAAAGTGCTGTATTCAAGTATAGTTTTGAAGTACTTGTACTTTACTTTGGTATTTCCGTTAACACTTCTTCTCCACTACATTTCAGAGGCAAATATAGCATTCCTCCATATATCTTCATTTCTTCACTGTAGTCATCACAATTTGCCTCATAAAGCTCAACAAGGTGCACATGACAGAGGAGAGTCACAAAACTATTTCTTAGGATTTTATTTTCGTGCAACCTCATCATTTTTGCCGTAAACGTAAATGTGTATATTTAAAGAGGATCATATGTCGGAACAGTATCTACCTGGTGGAATAGAAAATCTGTGAAAACTAAATATGTGCACCAAATTTAATACACTGTCACTTTTTCATAGTGATGAGTGGGACCGGAGACACGTGGGATTGGCGCAGCCCTGTGGCACATTTTGGAAGGACATCATATCATCACATTTCAGAGCTGCAGAGATTATCAGTCTGTGGTCCATTCATTTCTTTTAGCGCTTATTATTACATCACTGGAGAGAGCCTCTGTTTCTCGGGCTGAAACTCTGGACAAAACATTTCTGATCAAAACGTATGAGTTTCAACCAATAAGACTTTGGGTTCGGTTGGTCACGTGAAACAATGTTTTTTTGTTTTTTTTTTAATGAGGTTTGGGTTTGACCCAAAAAGTCTGGATGGCTCCCAAACCTGTGTCATGTGATCCTCAGGGCCGGAGCGCACGGCACTATGTTTGATTGCATAATCACTTAGTGCCGGTTGGACAGAGGAGAGGGGCGGGTCTGATTGGGACTGATATTGATACTTGATCACCTAATTAATCAAAGGTTGAGTGGGAACATGAAGTTTAAGTTGTTTAACACTTTGCAGAGTTTTTGAACCACCACATCTCTGATCCTAGATCCGATCACCTTCCTCCTCCATCATCATCCTCTTCATCTTCATCATCCTCAGTTGTCTCCGGGGCGCAGCATTTGCGCACGGTGCCCACAGAGTGAGTCACAAGGCTGCATCTGGTTCAGCTGTTTGCGCCCCGGCTGCTCAGAGAGGCCGAGCACCGGCTGCAGCAACACTCCCTTCATCCAGCACCACAGAGGAGCTGAGGGGGTCCACTCACTGCGAAGCCTTTTTTAAGTTTTTGATTTTTTTTTTAGCTTTTGTTTTAGATTGTCTTCGGTTTCCAGTCATGTCCAGAAACAAGGATCCGGAGAGAGTTCCCCTGATGACAGATGGGAGCCACACTTACACCAGGTACAACTTTTATTTCTCCCATTTTTAATAACTAACAAGTCAAACCAGAGCAGAGGGAGATGCGAACTTAATTAATCATGAAGCAACAACTTTATTTTGTAGTTTTATTTGTGTTAACTTCATCTGTGAGTTTGAATAAAGACATGAATCACACGCATGCGTACGTTTTTTTTTTTTTTTTTTTTTT